CCAGCGATTGGGCTTCATCAGGTTGTGGGCGCGGGAGATTTCTGCCTGTTGGGCTCGCTCCTGGCACTTGGTGTCTTTATCGGCACAGTGATCGCCCTCCACGTTGCTGTTTGGGGGGGAAGGAGATGGAACGAGACGAGCAAGAATGAATGGGACGAACTGAGAAGGGAGGAGAAGGGGCAGCAACATCAGTAGTAGCCTTCTTGACGCGCAGGAACTGTGCCAGCCTGGCGATGCAGTGCCACCGGTTGGGCTTCAGTTGTGCGGTTTTAGGGTTACAGCTACACCCCCGCCTGCCTGCCTGCTGCGCTCTCATACAACTGACACTTTGAGAATCAAGCACATGAAAAAAACACACATTAAAGCGACTCACACTGAGTGTCCACGGATGTGAATCGACAGGTCAAACTGCAGCCTCAGCCCCTCGCCTTTCGCAACCGTCTGCGGCTCCACCTTCCCCCCTTTCGCCTCCCCCTCCTCCATCCCCATCCCGCCCCCTCTGAACACCAGCGGCGGCACCACTCTCAAGTCTCTATCAACCACCTCTTGCACCCCAGGCCTTGGCCCTTTGCCGAGGAGGAGGGAGAGCACTTGCGACTGGATGCACCAGAGGGAGCGGCAGCCGAAGGCGTCATGCACACACTGGTTGATCAGGGGATCCCTGCGCCAAAAGGCATCGAAGAACGCACCTGGTGGAGAAGGGGAGGGGAGGGGCGACGAGGACGGATATGGGTGAGGGGGAGATGGTAAGGGGGAGGAATGCAGCGAAATGGGTCGTGCACACACTGGTTGATTTGGGGGTCCTTGCGCCAAAAGGACCTAGTGCGAGTGAGCAGGGGAGGGGAAGGAGGGAGAGGATATGCGTGAGGAGGAGAGAGCGTAGAGGAGAGGTGGAGGAGAAAGTTCAAGGAGGAGGAGGAGGGAGTGTAAGGGGAGGAGGAGGGAGTGTAAGAGGAGGAGAATAGCTCATGACAAATGAGTAGTAATTGAGGACCTAATGTTGTGTGATGCTGTCATTTGCATTCACGTCTGTCTGCCTTCCATCCAAATTTTCTACCTTGCATACATGGTGCGCATGCGTAACAATTTGTGTTCGGTGATGTTTGGAATTTGTGAAGAAGTGTGAATGTACCGTCACCCCCCGGATATACCCCCATGGGGGGCTATAATATAACATGTTTTTTTGAGGGGGTGGGCTTATAATATAGTAAATTTATAAGCGCCGGCGTTTATAATTTGTCAAAATTGAATTTTGTTTTTAAATATACCAAATCGAAGCATTCTCAAAGGCGGATTCACCTGGGTCGAGAACGTTCGAAACTGTGCATGCATTGCGCGTGAAACGGCCAACAAGGCGTGGCTTCACGCCTTCCACGCCTTGTTGGCCAGGCCAGGTTCATCGAACGTGAACCTGGCCCATGCCAGTGCACACGTACCTCGCATCACAGCGGCCCAATCAGGGTTGCATGCGATCGTGGGCACGTCGTGGTTCAGCCACGGTGTGCCCATCAACAGCAAAATTCCCCGCCACCGAGGCAAGGAGCTGCCCAGCTCAGCTCCTCTGCGGGGAATCTTGACTGGGGCCACCCTTTTCCCGCAGAGGAGGCCGGGCCGCGAAAATGAAGGGGTCTCGGGCGAGGGCTTCATACAACCCTCATTCTCGACTTTTGCCTTCAGTTTCTTTGTTCGTTTGGCCTGCCGTGGCCATGGCGGGCCTTCCACGCACGCATTTCTTGTTCCGCCGCCATCCTGCTGCCAGAGAAAACACCCGCCGAGACACCTGTGACTACTCTCAATGGCAGTCGCGCCCTGCGCCCGTCCCTCCGTGTCAACCAGTAGCTCCTCCCATTCCTCCCACTCCTCCAACTCCTCCTGCACCTCCCGCTCCCCCGGCGCCTCCGGTTCCTCCAGCTCCTCCGTCCCCTCCTGACCCGCCTGTGTTTGGTGCTCCACGTCAGGGGGTCCTGCAGCTTCTCCTCCCTCCTGGCTACTCGGCGTTTGACGTGTACCTGTCCGAGCCCGACCGCGCCGGTGGCGCATCGTCTTCCTCCGCACCGTCGCCACGCTGGGGAGCCCCGGCTGATTGCCCGTTGGACGAATCCGCGACTGGTGCGGAGGATGACGTGGAGTTTTGGGCTGCCGACGGTCTTCCAGAGCACCTGCCTATTCCCACCTTCCCCCCCCCCAATAAGAAACGGCCCCACCCTTCTCGCGAGAATCGCGATGCCCGTCCTCCCTCCCCCAGGCACAAGCCTTCAAGTCACAAGCGGCACTCTTACACATCGCAGGAGAAACTGCAGTGGATTCTCAAGCTTGAGTCCGGGCACATGAGCGTGCGGCAGATGTCTCGCCAAACCGGCATCTCCCGAAGGTCACTCGCAGAATGGAAGACCCGGAAGGCTGACCTGGAGGGCACGCATGCTGCTCGCAAGCGTCTTCATGGGCGCGGAAGGAGCTCGTGGTATCGCGACATGGAAGCTGAAGTCTACAGGAGGTTTCTTGCCCACCATAAAAAATGTCTCGCGGTCTCGATCGCTCGCCTACAGAAGTGGTCGCATGAGGTGATGAAAGAATTGCACCCACAGGTAAAGTGGTCCGGCTCGCAGCGGTGGACTTAGCGGTTTCGCCGCCGTTGGAATCTGACAACCCGAGCGAAGACCAGGGTCGGCCAGAAGCTTGCTGCCAGTGAGTTTGTGGGAAATGGTTGCAGTTTAATGTGTACTGCTTTGTGTTGTTTGTCTCTTTATGTTTCACGGTTGAATTTTAACGCGTCATTAATACTGTCTTCTCTCTTTCCCTCCCACCCGTACTCCCAGACTGCGAGACTGACGTCAGGAATTTCTGGAAGTTCGTGCGTCACACCCGCCGCCAATACAAGATTGACCCGCAGTGGATAATAACCGCGGACCAGACACCACTGTGGCTCGAGATGCCTGCCGAACGCACAGTCGAGGAGGTGGGTCTGCGCTCTGTGCCTATCCGCAGCGGCGGCTATCAGAAGGAGCGAGTTACGGTGATGCTCGCCTGCACTGCCAGCGGTGAGAAGCTGAAGCCGTGGGTCTTCTTCAAACGGAAGACCCTGCCTAAAGGGGATTTCCCTTCAGGTGAGCATTAATACCCACTGCTGCATGTTTTTTTTTTTCAATGTCTACTGATGTTGTATGTGCGTTTGTGGCTGTGCAGATGTTACGGTGTCCGTCCATCCCAACGGTTGGATGGACGCGGACGGAGTCATCGAGTGGCTCGACGGGGCAGTGAAGCCGTTCGTCCACACCAAGTTTGGAGTGAGGCCCCGCAAAGCGATGCTCGTCTTGGATTCGTACCGCGGGCACCTGACTGCGGAGGTGAAGAAGAAGTTCGGGGAGCTGAACATCGTCCCTGCCGTTATCCCAGCTGGCTGCACCTCGGAGATTCAACCTCTGGACGTCGCGGTGAATCGCTCCTTCAAGGCATCCGTTCGACAGCTCTACCAGGAGTGGTTCGAGAGCGAGGGGGTCGACACCTTGACAAAGAAAGGTGAGAGAGGCAGGCCATGCGTGTGCTGCTTTATCAGTTTGTAGCGGTGGCTGACTTTTGATTGTTTAAATTTTATGGCAGGCAACATCAAGAAGCCACCACCCGAGCTAACGCTCAAGTGGATATCAGCGGCTTGGAAGGCCGTGCCCAGGGACTTGATTCAACGGGCTTTCCTCACCTGTGGCATTAGTAACGCACTGGATGGGTCCCAGGACAAGATCTGCCTGCAACACAGGCGCGACGACGACATTGCAGCAGATGGCTTTTTCTGCAACAACGTAGAAGAACCAGAGTCGGACTCTGAGGCCGACCCGGATGATCCTACCGCAGCTGATGACTAGATTACGTAGATCTAGAAATTGCTGTAGCCTGTGAGACTCGTAGGTAGATTTAGAACTGTAATTAGAAAAAACTGTAGATACACTGACTTTGTAGTTAATTAGATGAAAATATAAGTTGTTAATGCGGTTAGTGAAGTTTGTAGAAAAAAAATATTTAAAAAAGTGGCGGTTATAATGTGTAAGGTACAGGTATGCGGCTATAATCCGTACGACTCTAGGGTATGCGCTTATAATCGAGGAGGGGATATAAGCGCCATATGCCAATTAGAAGCGCCAGGCGCTTATCCTAGGGTGGCGCTTATATCCGGGGGGTGACGGTATATTGTTTGAGCAAATATCTGAAACGACTTCTCTTTTCAAAAGCTTAATAACAAACAAAAAATTGGCGCGATTGGAACAAGAACGAGAATGTTAGAATAGTTGGGGGTTATAATTGTGATACGACAACTATGAGAATTGGTAGGGTGACTCCATATGGGGTGTAGACGTTTGTGAGTTGGGAAAACTTGTGACTCTACCATAATTGTTGCGAAATGGTTGGGAGAAACCGAACTTGGATGGGGGAAGCCAAACTAGGTTGGCAAGGGTGACCAGTTTGGATGAGGTTGATTAAGAAGGTTGGGAAAAAAACAAATGTCAAAATTAAATTCTTATACAACGGGGATTTTGTCTGATTATGGGGTTTTTTTTGTTAAAGACTCCCTGAGGACCTTCCCTCTCGTCCTCCTCTTTTTTTCCCACTTTGTTTTTTTCTACTCTTATATTTTGTGTCATGCTTGGCTGAACTATTGGGCTGAGTTAGGTTTCAGCTCCAATCCAGCATATTCCGCAGTTCGTCGAAATTCACAACTCGAAAATTGTTTTTTTTTTTTTTTTTTTTTTCATATGATTCAAATTGAGAATGGTAGTCACGGTCTAAGGCTATAACATGTACGGAATTGGTGAAGTTTTAAAGTTGCACTTTTTGTCGACGACATTTTTTGTAAACACGACTTTTCTGTCCAGAAACTTAGTTGATGAGTTTAAGTTAATTCAGTCCCCTAAACGATGTAGACTCGGCCCTTGATCGTAACACATGTATCACAAGCTCTCACCCCTGCACATATACCTTTTACAATGAATCTCTGTATTACTTATATCCACTCAATAATGAAAGGACGTACCCGAGTTGACAGCCATGACAGGGGAGTAGTAGTTGAGCCCGTGAATCACAAGCTCTCGTCCCTCCATCAGCTTTGTGTGTTTGCGCATGTCCCCTCTATAGTGCAACTCGTCTAGCCCACAGTAGAACGCATCGCACAGACGCTCCAGGACCTAAGAAATGGGGAGGGCAAAACGAGGCAAGGGAGGATTTTGAGATCTCTCAGAATCAACCTTGGGCACAATGAGGCAAGGGAGGAAGGAAAGTGGTGCAGACATGGTGAGTCTATATAACGAATTGCAACTCTGCTTATGGTGAGGTGACACGCAATTCTGCAACTCTGTAGGAGACGACCCCAAACCCTACACATTGAACCCCTCACCATCCTGTGGGCCCCCCCGTGCCACCTCAGCAGCCTCCGTCCCGACAGCAAAGCAAAGATGAACGCCGAAGTGTACCCTCTCAGCGAGTTCCCCAGCCCAAAGCGCGGCGCCCAGATGAGCCAGCGCTCCTGCGGTATGCTCTCCAGAAGGCCCTCCATGATGGGATCGCGCGTCTCCTTTCCCACCCCCGCCCACGACACCAGCAGGTCCATTGGGATCGCCTCGCGCTTCTCCTGGTGGCGCCGCACGTTGCCGAGGATTTTCAGCTCTGTCTCGTTGGCGTCGCGGCCGAGGATGGGCAGGTTGGTGTAGGCTGGCGGGGGGAGAATGCCCTTGCATGAAGGGGTGTTCTGTAGGCGAGGGGAGGGAGGGGAGGAGAGATGAGGGGGGGAGAGAGAGAGTAAGTCTTGTTCATAGCACGCTTGGTCGGAAGAGTTTCTGGGGGACAGCTTCATGCTTCTCTTCTCCTGCTGGCGTCGCACGTTGCCGAGAATCTTCTGCTCTGTTTCGTTGGCGTCGCAGCCAAGAATGGGGAGGTTGGTGTAGGCTGGCGGGGGGAGAATGCCCTTACACAAGGGGATGTTCTGTAGGCGAGAGTGGGCCGGGTTAGGGTATGGAGATGGGGATGGGGAGTTGGAGAGTGGGTAGGTAATTGTGGTTGATTTTCCGGCCGAGAATGGGCAGGTCGGTGCGGGGAGGACGCCCTTGCGTGAGGGGGTGTTCTGCAGGAGAGGGGAGGGAGTGGGGCCACAGCTTGCTTTTAATCCACGTGTGCCCTAGCTTTTAATGACGCCGTTCCCCCGCACACTGAAGCACACACCCTTCAGCGGTACAGCATTCTTGCTCGGGCAAGAATGCTCCACAGAGGAACCAAATGTCGAGGCAAGTTGATCGAGTTCGCAACCTGGAGTCTTCGGAAAAAAACTGCGACGGAAGTGACTGGGAATCCACTCGTTAGCTTGTAATGACTTCGCGTCATGCATAGAAGCGACGAAGCAGAGAAATGGAAGAAAATGGAAAGTTAGATCTGTCTGAACCCGGAATCGAACCGGAGACCTCCAGTGTGTGAGACTGGCGTGATAACCGACTACACCATCCAGACGTGAGGACCTAGAATGAAGAGGTTAGTGTCAGCTGTAGCGGGGAGAATGCCCTGTTGAGTTATGAGGAGGTGTTCTGCAAGGGTAGGGGGCTGGCGCAGGGAGGATGCCTTTACATGAGTGGATGTTCTGTAGGGATGAGGGGGGTTTTGAAACCAGCCAGTGAGGAGGTGTTCTGCAAGGGTAGGGGGCTGGCGCAGGGAGGATACCTTTACACGAGTGGATGTTCTGTAGGGATGAGGGGGGTTTTGAAACCAGCCAGTGCTGATTCAAAAACACTACCGTAAGGACACCTTCACTTGTTGTAAGTGAAGTGAAGTTGTGGGCATCTTCACTTACATACAACAATGCCGAACCAGGCACCCCACCTAAACATGCCTTGCCAGCTGTCGCCCAACAACACCCCACCAGCAGTTTCCACCTTGCATCAGCCGTTTTAATGCTGCTGCGCCAGCAACAGCAGCAGCAGCAGCAGCAGCAGCGGCGGCGGCGGCGGCGGTGGCGGCAGCAGCAGCAGCAGCAACAGCAGCAGCATATTCCTTCTTAACTAAAGAACTCACTTAGAGCTCATCGCATTGAACCAGGCTCCTCGTACGAACGTGCTGCTTCAGCTGTCGGCCAGCAACAACCTCTCCACTAGCAACCTCAGCACTTAACTAAGTGCTTACCGCAATGTCATATCGATCTTCTCGCAGAAACATGCTGCACCTGCTGCTGCTGCTGTGGTGCGAGCCAGCAGCAGCAGCAGCCTCTCCTTAGGTCGTATCCCTGGCTGGTGGCAAGAAGTTGGTGGCAAGAATTTTGCGCATGCGATTGGTTAAAAAAACCGCTTGACCAATCGCATTGGCCGGGCGTCTGTTTTGGACCAATCGCGCGCGGAAACTTCTTGCCACCAACTTCTTGCCACCAGCCAGGGATACGACCTTAGCTAAACACTCCACTTAATTAAGTGCTTACCGCAATGTCATATCGGGCTTCCCGCATGAACATGCCGCGCCAGCTGTCGCCCAACCGTGCCACGGGCCACTGCCATTGGTAGCTGTCGTGGTGCTGAGTCAGCATCTCCTCGTCATCTCCCACCTCGTTCCGCCACCGAAACGCTGACTCTCCCTTCTCTTGCGGTCCAGCCACCCACCCATCCACCAGCCTCCTCCTCCTTCTCGTTCTACCTCTCCTGCTTGTCTTCTCAATCGCTGTTCTCTCGGTATTCTCCGGCAGCCCTGCCATCCATCCGTCCACCAGCCGTCGTCTCCCCGTCCTCCCACCTCTTCTCACCCCCTTGGGAACTCCACTCACTCCTCTCCTCTCTCCCCTCACTCCCCTCGCTTCCTTCACGTCCCACTCGCCTCTCATTTCGCTGATCGCCTCTTTCCACCTGCGACTCCTCTCCTCTCTGCTCCCGCTCTCCCCCTTGCCCGTGCTCTCTCTCGCCCTGTACCTATCACCCTCAATATCCCTCTCTCCGTCCCTTTCAGCACTCCCTGGTTTTTGAGAATTCTCAAAAACCCCGCCCCTGCTCTCTCTCGCCCTGTGCCTCTCACCCTCAATGTGCCTCTCTCCGTCCCGTTCAGAACTCCCTTCTCCCTCCCACGCATGAATCTCTTTAAAGACAGACTCGATAGTATCTTCCTCGTCCTCTTCCCCAGCCTCATCTTCTTCTCCTTCTTCCTCCGCCTCCTCATCTTTCTCCGCGTTCTCTTCCCCCGCATCACCACTCATTTCAAGCTCCTCACTCTCCTCCTTGCTCTCCAAATCCTCCCCACTCTCCAAACCTCTCTCTTTCCCCGTACTCAACTCAACACCCTCACCATCACCATTCCGCAGATGACCCATTTGACCCAGCCCTGATCTCTCGGGTTCATCTCCGCCGTCCGTCTCTCGGAGCCTTAATCCCTCTTGATGCCCGTCGTCTCGATCCGTTTCTGACAGTGTATTCCCCAGCCCTCTCCAGTCCTCCAACCCTAACTTCTCCCCCGTTTCAGTCACATCGTTCCAGTCACACCCCTCCCATTCCTCGCACGGCAGAATCAACTCCAAGAGCGGGTCGCGAGTTACCGGCAGTCTTCTGCCAGCACTAGTTGACGGCCGGTAACCACCAGTTGACGGCCGGTAACCACCAGTTGACGGCCGGTAACCACCAGTCGACGGTCGGTAACTACCTGACGGACTACTACTGCTCAACGGCTGGAAAGTGAAGCTTCTGGTCGGCGCCCAATCGCTATCAGTAACTAAATCAGCTCGACTGCTTTCACTAACGGCGGCCGGTAACTCCGTCCCTCGGGCGCTGGCTGCGTCAGACGGAACTCGACGGCCGTCAGTTGACAGAGACCATGACGGATGGTCTGCTGACGCCGGGACCGATAAAAGCAGGTTGATGATTAGTACTACGATTACCAGCGCAATCGATTCTTTTTGACTACAAGTGATTATAACGCGCGCCGCGGGCTTTTTGAGAGCTGCGGCTGCCATGGCTAGTAATAACCGAAGGAACTTCGATGCGTCCGCAAAGCATGAAGTGCTGCTAACGAATGTGCTTCAGGCTGCGGAAAGACACAGTCGAACGATGCTCCGGAAAACACGGCATCATCAAAATTTAGTGCTGAATTAGGACGGGTGTGCGCGAAAATTTCTTCCGACGATTCCCGTGGAACGAAAAGATCGCGTGAGAATCGGAACTTGCTTGCGTATCAGCAGACAAGACTTCAAACGAGAGAATCTGTTGCAAGCTCCAAGCTTAGAGGCATTCTGCAAGAGACGGTGATGCAAGGATTTCTCAAACATCAATGGCCGGCATAACCAGCAGTCGCTAGGAAGTGTGCCTGATGTTGATGTTGAAAACCGCCAGGGCGTGTTTATCCACAGCTGAAACAGCAAAGTCGCGATACTTTTCTGTGCGTTGTGTCTGTCGTCATTTCAGGGAAAGTAGCCGTTGGGAACTAGGGCTCCTGAGGGATGCAGAGGTGCGAATCGAATACGAAACAAAAGTTAAATAAACACTTCTTTTCCCCCCTCATTGGTTGCTTCTGCCAAGTGCCACGCGCATCGTCCAATGGCAAAGGTTGGCCAACAATTTCCAAAGTTCTTCGGTCCAGCACCCGATTTGAGGTCAGGTGGTATCGAACTCGGAACCAATTGAGTCCTAAAAATAACGACCCGCGTTACAGATGCTGGACCTCGTGTCACAACTCCTGCGCTGGTACCACAGCGGACGCCATCGGGCTCGGCAGCCCGGCAGGGGCTTCCGACACTTCCACGGTTGAGCACGTTTCTGTACGCTTTGAAGCGTTTTGTTTCTCTGTCAAACCCATCCTCCTTTCTGAACATCGTACAGTTCGTAAACAAGATCTGACACGCCCGTACAGCTCGTTCAATGTCTCTCGAATAACTAGAATCACCAGATTTTACAGAACCCCTGAACCTTCAACCCTTCAGATTTTAGAAGGTGGCATTGTTCTAACCTCCCACCACCACCACGAGCCCTCACACCACCCTCATTCAGTATCCCCTTCTTCCGCATCCCTCTTCCCTCTCTAGTCGCAGATTGTTGTTGATCGGACGGGGCCCCTTGTTTCCCGGTGTTTAGTGAGCCGTGATCATTTCACCTTTTGCGTTTTTGGAGCGTGCGTAACGGTCACGTGCTATTGAACGGGTAGTAGCATCGTTAGATACATCTCCGTTTGCAATATTGAAGGCCACGTGTCATTGAACGGTTAGCAGCAACAAGATTCTCAACTATACATCTCGTTTTCACACTATGGCAAAGTCGAAGCGTCGAAAGCAGCAGTCCCCGCACCATTCTCCAAATCCCGGACGTCCCGCGGCTCCACAGGGTTCTACAAGACCGAATGTGCCACAAACGGGAATTCCTCTAACGAATTCCGCTAAACCCCGACCAGGGCAGGTTTACATTATGGATCCGCAATTGGTGACACGTGTCGAGAAGATATTGGCCGATAATGATTACTTGACCGTGGAGGAAGTTGCGTTGAAGCTTCGCGAGGCGCATCCGCGGGACTATCAGCGCAAGCCACAAGGGCCGTTCTTAAAGAGCGTGACTAAAGCGGTGGAGGTACGTCAGCCGTCGATATATGAATTCAAGGTCTTACTGAAGCCCTTGTTGCGAGTCAATCCAACGTATGCCTCTTAAGCGGAATAAGCTATTCTCATGGAGGGAACTTTTAATGAACCTCCCGCTCCTCTCCCCATTTCGCCCTCTCCCCCAGCAGGCGGCGCAGCAGCGGCTGGAGGGGGGGTTGAGCCGCGAGCAGGCGGAGTTTGAGGCGAGCGTACGGGGGAAGAAGGCGGAAGGCGGACAGGCGGAAGGGGGAGGGGCGGAGGACCAGCGCCTGGCGCAGCTGGAGCAGGCGCACATGCGCGCAAGGGGGATAGTGGAGGCGGAGGGGGAAGATGAGGGGGAAGGAGAGGCGGAAAAGGAGGGGGAAGGAAAGGCGGAGGCGGATGGGGAAGGCGAAGCCGCGGAGATCGCCAAAGCCGCGGAGATCGCCAAAGCCGCGGGGAAAAGGATTGCGCAGAGCTCAGGGGAGAAAGCTGGCGGAAAGGGTTTAACCGGGGTTGAGGGTTTAGCGGGGGCTAGCGGAGGGGTTGGTCTGGGGGGAGGGCGCAAAGGGGGAGAAAGAGGGGAAATGGGAGATGCTGACGTGGCGAGTGAGGCGGGAGAGAGTGTGGAGGGAGAGAATGAGGCAATGAGTGTGGAGTGGAGTGAGGGAGAGAGTGAGGGAGCGAGTGAGGGAGAAAGTGAGGGAGAGAGTGAGGAGCCGCCAGAGAGTCCTAAGGACATCGGTACACGTGGCTTTAATCTCCTTAATGCTGCTCTTAGGAAGACTTATGATAAGGCAGGAACACCAGGAGGGAAGGGAGAAGGTAAGGGAAATGGAAAGGGGGATAACGCAGTGGAAGCCGGGAAATCGGCAGGGAAAGGTGAACGGACAGGCGCAGGGGCAGGAGCAGGAGGAGGAGGAAGCGGAGGAGTTAAAGCTTCAGCCCCTGCGTTTGCGCCTCTGAGTGCCATCAAGGCAGCAGCTCTTAGGGAGGCGGAGAGACTGGCAGGCAAAGGGAAACAAGTGGGCGCAGGTGCTGCTGCTGCTGTAACTGGTAACCCTGTTGCTGTTCTTGGCGCCCCTGATTCTGCTGCGGCTGTGGTTACTGCTGCTGGTCCTGGTACCGGTGCTGGTGCTGCTGGTGCTGCTGCTGTGACTGCTGTGACTGCTGCTTCTGCTGTCGTTGCAGCAGCATCTGCTGCTGAGGCTGCTGCGCCGGTGGTTGGGAATGGAACAGCCGTTGTTCCTGGTGTTGATGCAGCAGGAGCAGCGTTGGAGCAGCTGCAGCTGCAGCGGAATCAGGGGCAGCAGCAGCAGCAGCAGCAGCAGCAGCAGCAGCAGCAGCAGCAGCAGCAGCAGCAGGGGGAGAGGAGGGGCGTGAAGCGAAAGGAGAAGGATGTGATTGTAGCGGATGCCACTAAACAGGGAGTGATTAAGGCCAACACTGATATTGTTGTAAGAGCAGTAGCAGGGGTAGCAGCAGGAGCAGGAGCAGGATCAGGAGCAGGAGCAGGAGCAGGAGCAGGAGCAGGAGCAGGAGCAGGAGCAGGAGCAGGAGCAGGAGCAGGAGCAGGAGCAGGAGCAGGAGCAGGAGCAGAAGCAGAAGCAGGAGCAGGGTTAAAGCCACCAACAGCAGTTAGACTCGAAAAGAATCGTTTGCAAGAAAAGAAATCCGTTACTGGTGCTTCTGTAAGTGCCGGCGGTGTTAGTTTAAGTGCTGGTGGCGCGAGTTTGAGCACTGCCGGTCCTGCTATGAGCACTGAGAGCCAGGGGAGTAAGCAGAGAGGGGGCAGAGGAGGGGGAGAGGGAGGGAGCAGAGAGGCAGGGAGCGGTAGGAAAGCAGTGAGTTCGCAAAATAGAGGAGATATGGGGGGGCTAGCAGCAGGTTCAAAGCTTGGGGGAGTGGAAGAGGAGGAAGGGGGGGAAGGGGGAGAGGAGGGGGCGAACAGGGTGGCTGGAAGGGGGAGGGTGAGTGAGGGAGGGAGAGGGTCGGAACGAGAGAGGCAATCAGAGGGGCTAAGTAAAGGTGGCGACACCAGCAGAGATCTTTTGAGGGACAGGATAAAGCGGGTGGGCACTAAAGGGAAGAAGAAGGCCGGAGCAAGAGGTTCGGGTGTGGCAGATATCTTCCCAGACGAAGCAGGTCCGGGGGAGGGAGGTTCGGCCCGGGCCGCGCCTCGGGAGGTCCGGTTTGCGGATTTCGGGGGGATCGACGGGGTGGTGGAGCAGGTTCGGGAGCTGATCCTGTACCCGCTGGCGCATCCGGAGCTGTACGCTTGGCTCGGCGTCGAGCCTCCAAGAGGGGTGTTACTCCACGGGCCTCCTGGGTGTGGCAAGACGATGCTGGCTCATGCCATTGCACGGGAAGCGGGAGTGCCGTTTTTCAAGATCGCTGCTCCTGAGATTGTCTCGGGCATGTCAGGTAAGGGGTGGGATAGGTGGTTTCCATTGCTGCTGCAGCAGCAGCCGACGGTTGCTGCTGCACGGCCCTCCTGGGTGTGGTGGCAAGACGATGCTGGCTCATGCTATTTCTATTCTAGAGAGGCTGGGTGGGGTACCAATCTTCAAGATTGCTGCCCCAGAGATTGTCTCGGGCATGTCAGGTGCGTCATGAGTTGGCACCCAGGCCGGTTCCCTGAACTGAAAGCAGTGTTATGTTGGTGCGTCTAAGGGCGAGGTTTCTTGCAGCAAGGCCCTTCCCCTGGGTGTACTAGCTAACAAGACAATGCTGGCCCATGCTAGCTCATGCATGCCATGCCATGCCACGGGAGGCTGGAGTGCCATTCCTTTAAGATCGCTGCCCCAGAGGCTGTTTCGGGCATGTCAGGTGCGTGATTTTTCTTTGAATTCAGGCGCCTAAACGCACACACGGACTGCCTCCTGGGCGTGGCAAGGCGATGTTGGCTCATGCATGCATGCCCTGCCACGGGAAGATGGAGTGCCGTTCTTCAAGATCTCTTTTGAGGCGCCTCAAAAGATGGAGTGCCGTTCTTCAAGATCTCTTTTGAGGCGCCTCAAAAGATGGAGTGCCGTTCTTCAAGATCTCTTTTGAGGCGCCTCAAAAGATGGAGTGCCGTTCTTCAAGATCTCTTTTGAGGCGCCTCAAAAGATGGAGTGCCGTTCTTCAAGATCTCTTTTGAGGAGCCTCAAAAGATGGAGTGCCGTTCTTCAAGATCTCTTTTGATGAGCCTCAAAAGATGGAGTGCCGTTCTTCAAGATCTCTTTTGAGGCGCCTCAAAAGATGGAGTGCCGTTCTTCAAGATCTCTTTTGAGGCGCCTCAAAAGATGGAGTGCCGTTCTTCAAGATCTCTTTTGAGGCGCCTCAAAAGATGGAGTGCCGTTCTTCAAGATCTCTTTTGAGGCGCCTCAAAAGATGGAGTGCCGTTCTTCAAGATCTCTTTTGAGGCGCCTCAAAAGATGGAGTGCCGTTCTTCAAGATCTCTTTTGAGGCGCCTCAAAAGATGGAGTGCCGTTCTTCAAGATCTCTTTTGAGGCGCCTCAAAAGATGGAGTGCCGTTCTTCAAGATCTCTTTTGAGGCGCCTCAAAAGATGGAGTGCCGTTCTTCAAGATCTCTGCTCCTGAGATTACTTTTGAGGCGCCTCAAAAGCCGTTCTTCAAGATCTCTGCTCCTGAGATTACTTTTGAGGCGCCTCAAAAGCCGTTCTTCAAGATCTCTGCTCCTGAGATTACTTTTGAGGCGCCTCAAAAGCCGTTCTTCAAGATCTCTGCTCCTGAGATTGTCTCCGGCATGTCAGGTCAGGTGTGTTGTTTGTGTGTTCAGAGCTTGTGTGTTTTGAGGCGCCGCATCAACTCAACACGACTGAATCTGTTTTTTGAGAATTAAAAAAAAAAAAAGAAATACGTATCTAGGTGCGTTGTTTGTGTGTGTGTTCTGAGGCGCCGCATCAACTCAACAACACAACTGCGTAGGTCGCCGGGGCTTAAATGGTTCTCTCCCTGGGTGGGTGTGGCAAGACGATGCAGGCTCATGCCATTGCACGAGAGGCTGGGGTACCGTTCTTCAGAATCGCAGCTCTAGAGATCGTCTCTGGCATGTCAGGTGAAGAGCGGGATATGTGATTTCTATTGCTGCAACAGCATAAGAGTGTTGCTGCAACAGCATAGGAGTGTTGCTGCACGGGCCTCCAGCAGGGTGTGGCAAGACAATGCTCACCCAGGCCATTGCACGGGAGGCAGGAGTGCCGTTCTTCAAGATCGCTGCTCCTGAGATAGTCTCCGGCATGTCAGGTAAGGGGCAGGGTAGGTGGTTTCCATTGCAGCAGTAGAAGCAGACGGGTGCTGCTGCTGGGCCCTCCTACTGGGTGGGTGGAAAACGAGACGATGCTGGCTCATGCCATTGCTAGGGAAGCTGGGGTGCCTTTTTTCAAGATCGCTGCCCCTGAGATTGTCTCGGGCATGTCAGGTAAGGGGCGGGGTTGGTGGCTTCCATTGCTGCAGCAGCAGCAGCAGCAGCAGCAGCAGCAGCAGCAGCAGCAGCAGCAGCAGCAGCAGCAGCAGAGGGATTTTTCTCCACGGACGGACCTCCTGGGTGTGGCAAGACGATGCTGGCCCATGCCATTTCCAGAGAGGCACGAGTGCCGTTCTTCAAGATCGCTGCCCCAGATATCGTCTCGGGCATGTCAGGTATGCAGTTTCTTTGTCCCCATGAGCGGCAATCCATGCACGGACCTGACAATGCTGGCTCAGGCCATTGCTAGAGACGCGGGAGTGCCGTTCTTCAAGATCGCTGCTCCTGAGATAGTCTCTCTCTGGCATGTCAGGTAAGGGGCTGAATATATAATATCCATTGCAGTAGGAGGAGCACCATAGGGGTACTGCTGAACGACCTTCCTGCTGGGTTTGGCAAGGCGATGCAGGCGACTTTTGAGTCGACTCAAAAGTCACCTATTGAGTCGACTCAAAAGTCACCTATTGAGTCAACTCAAAAGTCACCTATTGAGTCGACTCAGTAGGAGCAGCACCATAGGGGTGCTGCTGAACGACCTTCCTGCTGGGTGTGGCAAGGCGATGCAGGCCCATGCATGCCATGCTACGGGAGGCGGGGGTGCCATTCTTTAAGATCGCTGCTTGTGAAATCGTCTCGGACATGTCAGGTATGTCATTTGTGCTGTGTAGCTTCTGCTGACCATTCCTCCCTGTTTTGTCTATTTCTATCCTTCAGATTTCACCAGGTGAGTCAGAGGCGAAGCTACGGTCGCTCTTCTCCTCGGCTGAAAGGGCTGCTCCAGCGATTCTGTTTATTGATGAGATTGATGCCATCACACCCAAGAGGGGGACGGCTCAGCAGGAGATGTCCTGCTGCTGACAATCCCCTTCTGTCCCTTTTTTTCCATGCTTCCCTACTTGAGACTGCCAGGTGAGTCAGAGGCCAAGCTACAGTCGCTCTTCTCCTCGGCTGAACAAGCTGCCCCAGCCATTCTGTTTATTGATGAGATTGATTGATGCCATCACACCCAAGAGGGAGACGGCTTAACAATGATTCCTGCTTGTTTTGTTTCTTTTACTTTCATATCTCACCAGGTGAGTCTGAGGCGAAGCTACGGTCGCTCTTCTCCTCGGCTGAAAGGGCTGCTCCAGCCATTCTGTTCATCGACGAGATTGATGCCATCACACCCAAGAGGGAGACGGCTCAGCGGGAGATGGAGAGGAGGATTGTTGCGCAGCTGCTGACGTGTCTTGATGACCTCCAGTCATCTCCTGACACGTCAGGGGAGAAGGCGGGGGATGGAAGAGAGGAGAAGGAGAAGGAGCAGGGGAAAGGGATGGAGGAAACGGAGAAGGAGCAGGAAGAGAGGGAGAGAGAAAGGGAGAGGGAGAAGAGGAGGAAGTTGATAGGGCATGTGGTTGTGATAGGAGCAACAAACCGTCCAGATTCATTGGATCCTGCGCTGAGACGGGCGGGCAGATTTGATCGCGAGATCTCCCTGGGGATCCCCGATGAATCAGCGCGGGCCCGGATCCTGGAGGTACTTTCCAGGAAGCTGCGGCTGGAGGGGTCGTTTGATTTCGGGGTTATTGCGCGGCGTACCCCGGGGTTTGTCGGGGCGGATCTGGCCGCTCTTGCGAAAGAAGCGGCGGCTATTGCGGTGAAGAGGATTTTTACGAGTAAGGAAGCGGTGCTGGTGGGTGGTGGGAGATTGGAGGGAGCAGCAGGAACAGGAGTGGCGGCAATGGCTGGAGTAGGGGAAGGAGGAGCAATGGAAGTGACTGGAGTAGGGGAAAGGGGAGCAGGTGTTTTAGTAGCAGCAGCAGGAGAAGCAGCAGCAGCAGCAACAGCAGGAGCAGGAGAAGAAGGTGGTGACTGTATGCTGGTGGATGGGGAGGAGAATGTTCCTATGGCGAATGGGGAGGAGGGAGAGGCAGAGAAAAATGGGAAGGGAGCGAGGAGTGAGGCAGGGGAGGAAAGGGGTGCTGGAGCAGAAAAGCAGGGCGAGGATGGAGGAGAGGAGGGGAGGGGGAGAGGAGGCGGAAGGGAGGCTTGGAGGGAACCGTGGAGGGAAGAGGAGCTGCAGGCGCTGAGCATCACAATGGGGGACTTTGAGGTGCGTTGGGGTGGTGGCATACCATAGAGTAGTGAGAGGCATGGAGGTATGCTCGCAGGCATGTGCCTTGTGCATACCATCTGCATCGAGGAAGAGGAGTTGCAGGCGCTGAGCATCACAATGGGGGACTTTGAGGTGCGTTGGGGTGGTGGCATACCATAGAGTAGTGAGAGGCATGGAGGTATGCTCGCAGGCATGTGCCTTGTGCATACCATCTGCATCGAGGAAGAGGAGTTGCAGGCACTGAGCATCACAATGGGGGACTTTGAGGTGCGTTGGGGTGGTGGCATACCATAGAGTAGTGAGAGGCATGGAGGTATGCTCGCAGGCATGTGCCTTGTGCATACCATCTGCATCGAGGAAGAGGAGTTGCAGGCGCTGAGCATCACAATGGGGGACTTTGAGGTGCGTTGGGGTGGTGGCATACCATAGAGTAGTGAGAGGCATGGAGGTATGCTCGCAGGCATGTGCCTTGTGCATACCATCTGCATCGAGGAAGAGGAGTTGCAGGCGCTGAGCATCACAATGGGGGACTTTGAGGTGCGTTGGGGTGGTGGCATACCATAGAGTAGTGAGAGGCATGGAGGTATGCTCGCAGGCATGTGCCTTGTGCATACCATCTGCATCGAGGAAGAGGAGTTGCAGGCGCTGAGCATCACAATGGGGGACTTTGAGGTGCGTTGGGGTGGTGGCATACCATAGAGTAGTGAGAGGCATGGAGGTATGCTCGCAGGCATGTGCCTTGTGCATACCATCTGCATCGAGGAAGAGGAGTTGCAGGCGCTGAGCATCACAATGGGGGACTTTGAGGTGCGTTGGGGTGGTGGCATAGTGAGAGGCATGGAGGTATGCTCGCAGGCATGTGCCTTGTGCATACCATCTGCATCGAGGAAGAGGAGTTGCAGGCGCTGAGCATCACAATGGGGGACTTTGAGGTGCGTTGGGGTGGTGGCATACCATAGAGTAGTGAGAGGCATGGAGGTATGCTCGCAGGCATGTGCCTTGTGCATACCATCTGCATCGAGGAAGAGGAGTTGCAGGCGCTGAGCATCACAATGGGGGACTTTGAGGTGCGTAGGGGTGGTGGCATACCATAGAGTAGTGAGAGGCATGGAGGTATGCTCGCAGGCATGTGCCTTGTGCATACCATCTGCATCGAGGAAGAGGAGTTGCAGGCGCTGAGCATCACAATGGGGGACTTTGAGGTGCGTTGGGGTGGTGGCATACCATAGAGTAGTGAGAGGCATGGAGGTATGCTCGCAGGCATGTGCCTTGTGCATACCATCTGCATCGAGGAAGAGGAGTTGCAGGCGCTGAGCATCACAATGGGGGACTTTGAGGTGCGTTGGGGTGGTGGCATACCATAGAGTAGTGAGAGGCATGGAGGTATGCTCGCAGGCATGTGCCTTGTGCATACCATCTGCATCGAGGAAGAGGAGTTGCAGGCGCTGAGCATCACAATGGGGGACTTTGAGGTGCGTTGGGGTGGTGGCATACCATAGAGTAGTGAGAGGCATGGAGGTATGCTCGCAGGCATGTGCCTTGTGCATACCATCTGCATCGAGGAAGAGGAGTTGCAGGCGCTGAGCATCACAATGGGGGACTTTGAGGTGCGTTGGGGTGGTGGCATACCATAGAGTAGTGAGAGGCATGGAGGTATGCTCGCAGGCATGTGCCTTGTGCATACCATCTGCATCGAGGAAGAGGAGTTGCAGGCGCTGAGCATCACAATGGGGGACTTTGAGGTGCGTTGGGGTGGTGGCATACCATAGAGTAGTGAGAGGCATGGAGGTATGCTCGCAGGCATGTGCCTTGTGCATACCATCTGCATCGAGGAAGAGGAGCTGCAGGCGCTGAGCATCACAATGGGGGACTTTGAGGTGCGTTGGGGTGGTGGCATACCATAGAGTAGTGAGAGGCATGGAGGTATGCTCGCAGGCATGTGCCTTGTGCATACCATCTGCATCGAGGAAGAGGAGTTGCAGGCGCTGAGCATCACAATGGGGGACTTTGAGGTGCGTTGGGGTGGTGGCATACCATAGAGTAGTGAGAGGCATGGAGGTATGCTCGCAGGCATGTGCCTTGTGCATACCATCTGCCTCGAGGAAGAGGAGTTGCAGGCGCTGATCATCACAATGGGGGACTTTGAGGTGCGTTGGGGTGGTGGCATACCATAGAGTAGTGAGAGGCATGGAGGTATGCTCGCAGGCATGTGCCTTGTGCATACCATCTGCATCGAGGAAGAGGAGTTGCAGGCGCTGAGCATCACAATGGGGGACTTTGAGGTGCGTTGGGGTGGTGGCATACCATAGAGTAGTGAGAGGCATGGAGGTATGCTCGCAGGCATGTGCCTTGTGCATACCATCTGCATCGAGGAAGAGGAGTTGCAGGCGCTGAGCATCACAATGGGGGACTTTGAGGTGCGTTGGGGTGGTGGCATACCATAGAGTAGTGAGAGGCATGGAGGTATGCTCGCAGGCATGTGCCTTGTGCATACCATCTGCCTCGAGGAAGAGGAGTTGCAGGCGCTGATCATCACAATGGGGGACTTTGAGGTGCGTTGGGGTGGTGGCATACCATAGAGTAGTGAGAGGCATGGAGGTATGCTCGCAGGCATGTGCCTTGTGCATACCATCTGCATCGAGGAAGAGGAGTTGCAGGCGCTGAGCATCACAATGGGGGACTTTGAGGTGCGTTGGGGTGGTGGCATACCATAGAGTAGTGAGAGGCATGGAGGTATGCTCGCAGGCATGTGCCTTGTGCATACCATCTGCATCGAGGAAGAGGAGTTGCAGGCGCTGAGCATCACAATGGGGGACTTTGAGGTGCGTTGGGGTGGTGGCATACCATAGAGTAGTGAGAGGCATGGAGGTATGCTCGCAGGCATGTGCCTTGTGCATACCATCTGCATCGAGGAAGAGGAGTTGCAGGCGCTGAGCATCACAATGGGGGACTTTGAGGTGCGTTGGGGTGGTGGCATACCATAGAGTAGTGAGAGGCATGGAGGTATGCTCGCAGGCATGTGCCTTGTGCATACCATCTGCATCGAGGAAGAGGAGCTGCAGGCGCTGAGCATCACAATGGGGGACTTTGAGGTGCGTTGGGGTGGTGGCATACCATAGAGTAGTGAGAGGCATGGAGGTATGCTCGCAGGCATGTGCCTTGTGCATACCATCTGCATCGAGGAAGAGGAGTTGCAGGCGCTGAGCATCACAATGGGGGACTTTGAGGTGCGTTGGGGTGGTGGCATACCATAGAGTAGTGAGAGGCATGGAGGTATGCTCGCAGGCATGTGCCTTGTGCATACCATCTGCCTCGAGGAAGAGGAGTTGCAGGCGCTGATCATCACAATGGGGGACTTTGAGGTGCGTTGGGGTGGTGGCATACCATAGAGTAGTGAGAGGCATGGAGGTATGCTCGCAGGCATGTGCCTTGTGCATACCATCTGCATCGAGGAAGAGGAGTTGCAGGCGCTGAGCATCACAATGGGGGACTTTGAGGTGCGTTGGGGTGGTGGCATACCATAGAGTAGTGAGAGGCATGGAGGTATGCTCGCAGGCATGTGCCTTGTGCATACCATCTGCATCGAGGAAGAGGAGTTGCAGGCGCTGAGCATCACAATGGGGGACTTTGAGGTGCGTTGGGGTGGTGGCATACCATAGAGTAGTGAGAGGCATGGAGGTATGCTCGCAGGCATGTGCCTTGTGCATACCATCTGCCTCGAGGAAGAGGAGTTGCAGGCGCTGATCATCACAATGGGGGACTTTGAGGTGCGTTGGGGTGGTGGCATACCATAGAGTAGTGAGAGGCATGGAGGTATGCTCGCAGGCATGTGCCTTGTGCATACCATCTGCATCGAGGAAGAGGAGTTGCAGGCGCTGAGCATCACAATGGGGGACTTTGAGGTGCGTTGGGGTGGTGGCATACCATAGAGTAGTGAGAGGCATGGAGGTATGCTCGCAGGCATGTGCCTTGTGCATACCATCTGCCTCGAGGAAGAGGAGTTGCAGGCGCTGATCATCACAATGGGGGACTTTGAGGTGCGTTGGGGTGGTGGCATACCATAGAGTAGTGAGAGGCATGGAGGTATGCTCGCAGGCATGTGCCTTGTGCATACCATCTGCATCGAGGAAGAGGAGTTGCAGGCGCTGAGCATCACAATGGGGGACTTTGAGGTGCGTTAGGGGTGGTGGCATACCATAGAGTAGTGAGAGGCATGGAGGTATGCTCGCAGGCATGTGCCTTGTGCATACCATCTGCATCGAGGAAGAGGAGCTGCAGGCGCTGAGCATCACAATGGGGGACTTTGAGGTGCGTTGGGGTGGTGGCATACCATAGAGTAGTGAGAGGCATGGAGGTATGCTCGCAGGCATGTGCCTTGTGCATACCATCTGCATCGAGGAAGAGGAGTTGCAGGCGCTGAGCATCACAATGGGGGACTTTGAGGTGCGTTGGGGTGGTGGCATACCATAGAGTAGTGAGAGGCATGGAGGTATGCTCGCAGGCATGTGCCTTGTGCATACCATCTGCATCGAGGAAGAGGAGTTGCAGGCGCTGAGCATCACAATGGGGGACTTTGAGGTGCGTTGGGGTGGTGGCATACCATAGAGTAGTGAGAGGCATGGAGGTATGCTCGCAGGCATGTGCCTTGTGCATACCATCTGCATCGAGGAAGAGGAGTTGCAGGCGCTGAGCATCACAATGGGGGACTTTGAGGTGCGTTGGGGTGGTGGCATACCATAGAGTAGTGAGAGGCATGGAGGTATGCTCGCAGGCATGTGCCTTGTGCATACCATCTGCATCGAGGAAGAGGAGTTGCAGGCGCTGAGCATCACAATGGGGGACTTTGAGGTGCGTTGGGGTGGTGGCATACCATAGAGTAGTGAGAGGCATGGAGGTATGCTCGCAGGCATGTGCCTTGTGCATACCATCTGCATCGAGGAAGAGGAGTTGCAGGCGCTGAGCATCACAATGGGGGACTTTGAGGTGCGTTGGGGTGGTGGCATACCATAGAGTAGTGAGAGGCATGGAGGTATGCTCGCAGGCATGTGCCTTGTGCATACCATCTGCATCGAGGAAGAGGAGTTGCAGGCGCTGAGCATCACAATGGGGGACTTTGAGGTGCGTTGGGGTGGTGGCATACCATAGAGTAGTGAGAGGCATGGAGGTATGCTCGCAGGCATGTGCCTTGTGCATACCATCTGCATCGAGGAAGAGGAGCTGCAGGCGCTGAGCATCACAATGGGGGACTTTGAGGTGCGTTGGGGTGGTGGCATACCATAGAGTAGTGAGAGGCATGGAGGTATGCTCGCAGGCATGTGCCTTGTGCATACCATCTGCATCGAGGAAGAGGAGTTGCAGGCGCTGAGCATCACAATGGGGGACTTTGAGGTGCGTTGGGGTGGTGGCATACCATAGAGTAGTGAGAGGCATGGAGGTATGCTCGCAGGCATGTGCCTTGTGCATACCATCTGCCTCGAGGAAGAGGAGTTGCAGGCGCTGAGCATCACAATGGGGGACTTTGAGGTGCGTTGGGGTGGTGGCATACCATAGAGTAGTGAGAGGCATGGAGGTATGCTCGCAGGCATGTGCCTTGTGCATACCATCTGCATCGAGGAAGAGGAGTTGCAGGCGCTGAGCATCACAATGGGGGACTTTGAGGTGCGTTGGGGTGGTGGCATACCATAGAGTAGTGAGAGGCATGGAGGTATGCTCGCAGGCATGTGCCTTGTGCATACCATCTGCATCGAGGAAGAGGAGTTGCAGGCGCTGAGCATCACAATGGGGGACTTTGAGGTGCGTTAGGGGTGGTGGCATACCATAGAGTAGTGAGAGGCATGGAGGTATGCTCGCAGGCATGTGCCTTGTGCATACCATCTGCATCGAGGAAGAGGAGTTGCAGGCGCTGAGCATCACAATGGGGGACTTTGAGGTGCGTTGGGGTGGTGGCATACCATAGAGTAGTGAGAGGCATGGAGGTATGCTCGCAGGCATGTGCCTTGTGCATACCATCTGCATCGAGGAAGAGGAGTTGCAGGCGCTGAGCATCACAATGGGGGACTTTGAGGTGCGTTGGGGTGGTGGCATACCATAGAGTAGTGAGAGGCATGGAGGTATGCTCGCAGGCATGTGCCTTGTGCATACCATCTGCATCGAGGAAGAGGAGTTGCAGGCGCTGAGCATCACAATGGGGGACTTTGAGGTGCGTTGGGGTGGTGGCATACCATAGAGTAGTGAGAGGCATGGAGGTATGCTCGCAGGCATGTGCCTTGTGCATACCATCTGCATCGAGGAAGAGGAGTTGCAGGCGCTGAGCATCACAATGGGGGACTTTGAGGTGCGTTGGGGTGGTGGCATACCATAGAGTAGTGAGAGGCATGGAGGTATGCTCGCAGGCATGTGCCTTGTGCATACCATCTGCATCGAGGAAGAGGAGTTGCAGGCGCTGAGCATCACAATGGGGGACTTTGAGGTGCGTTGGGGTGGTGGCATACCATAGAGTAGTGAGAGGCATGGAGGTATGCTCGCAGGCATGTGCCTTGTGCATACCATCTGCATCGAGGAAGAGGAGTTGCAGGCGCTGAGCATCACAATGGGGGACTTTGAGGTGCGTTGGGGTGGTGGCATACCATAGAGTAGTGAGAGGCATGGAGGTATGCTCGCAGGCATGTGCCTTGTGCATACCATCTGCATCGAGGAAGAGGAGTTGCAGGCGCTGAGCATCACAATGGGGGACTTTGAGGTGCGTTGGGGTGGTGGCATACCATAGAGTAGTGAGAGGCATGGAGGTATGCTCGCAGGCATGTGCCTTGTGCATACCATCTGCATCGAGGAAGAGGAGCTGCAGGCGCTGAGCATCACAATGGGGGACTTTGAGGTGCGTTGGGGTGGTGGCATACCATAGAGTAGTGAGAGGCATGGAGGTATGCTCGCAGGCATGTGCCTTGTGCATACCATCTGCATCGAGGAAGAGGAGTTGCAGGCGCTGAGCATCACAATGGGGGACTTTGAGGTGCGTTGGGGTGGTGGCATACCATAGAGTAGTGAGAGGCATGGAGGTATGCTCGCAGGCATGTGCCTTGTGCATACCATCTGCCTCGAGGAAGAGGAGTTGCAGGCGCTGAGCATCACAATGGGGGACTTTGAGGTGCGTTGGGGTGGTGGCATACCATAGAGTAGTGAGAGGCATGGAGGTATGCTCGCAGGCATGTGCCTTGTGCATACCATCTGCATCGAGGAAGAGGAGTTGCAGGCGCTGAGCATCACAATGGGGGACTTTGAGGTGCGTTGGGGTGGTGGCATACCATAGAGTAGTGAGAGGCATGGAGGTATGCTCGCAGGCATGTGCCTTGTGCATACCATCTGCATCGAGGAAGAGGAGTTGCAGGCGCTGAGCATCACAATGGGGGACTTTGAGGTGCGTTAGGGGTGGTGGCATACCATAGAGTAGTGAGAGGCATGGAGGTATGCTCGCAGGCATGTGCCTTGTGCATACCATCTGCATCGAGGAAGAGGAGTTGCAGGCGCTGAGCATCACAATGGGGGACTTTGAGGTGCGTTGGGGTGGTGGCATACCATAGAGTAGTGAGAGGCATGGAGGTATGCTCGCAGGCATGTGCCTTGTGCATACCATCTGCATCGAGGAAGAGGAGTTGCAGGCGCTGAGCATCACAATGGGGGACTTTGAGGTGCGTTGGGGTGGTGGCATACCATAGAGTAGTGAGAGGCATGGAGGTATGCTCGCAGGCATGTGCCTTGTGCATACCATCTGCATCGAGGAAGAGGAGTTGCAGGCGCTGAGCATCACAATGGGGGACTTTGAGGTGCGTTGGGGTGGTGGCATAGTGAGAGGCATGGAGGTATGCTCGCAGGCATGTGCCTTGTGCATACCATCTGCATCGAGGAAGAGGAGCTGCAGGCGCTGAGCATCACAATGGGGGACTTTGAGGTGCGTTGGGGTGGTGGCATACCATAGAGTAGTGAGAGGCATGGAGGTATGCTCGCAGGCATGTGCCTTGTGCATACCATCTGCATCGAGGAAGAGGAGTTGCAGGCGCTGAGCATCACAATGGGGGACTTTGAGGTGCGTTGGGGTGGTGGCATACCATAGAGTAGTGAGAGGCATGGAGGTATGCTCGCAGGCATGTGCCTTGTGCATACCATCTGCCTCGAGGAAGAGGAGTTGCAGGCGCTGAGCATCACAATGGGGGACTTTGAGGTGCGTTGGGGTGGTGGCATACCATAGAGTAGTGAGAGGCATGGAGGTATGCTCGCAGGCATGTGCCTTGTGCATACCATCTGCATCGAGGAAGAGGAGTTGCAGGCGCTGAGCATCACAATGGGGGACTTTGAGGTGCGTTGGGGTGGTGGCATACCATAGAGTAGTGAGAGGCATGGAGGTATGCTCGCAGGCATGTGCCTTGTGCATACCATCTGCATCGAGGAAGAGGAGTTGCAGGCGCTGAGCATCACAATGGGGGACTTTGAGGTGCGTGGCATCATCTGCCTTCCCGTCTGAGAACCACACCCACCGCCCTCTCAACGACCACCCTCTACCATTTTCTTTCATGGTACCCTATCATAACCCTCCCTTCCCTTTATGCAGGTCGCATGATGAACGTAAAGAGGTGACTTTTGAGTCGACTCAAAAGTCCCCTCCCTTCCTTTCATGCAGGTCGCATGATGAACGTAAAGCTGAGTGCAAAGAGGGAGGGCTTGACCACCATCCCTGGGGGGCCACCTGGTTGGATTGGAATGTAATGGGACTGTGTGGGCGCTTTGGGAGGAGGGTCTGATACCTTCTTGATACCTTCTTGATACCTTCTTGATACCTTCTTGATACCTTGTGACCCCGAACCAATATAACCCCACTCTACCACCCTGCCAATCACCCTACCCTTGTTCCTCTTTGGCAGGCAGCAGTGGCGACAATACAGCCGAGTGCCAAGAGGGGGGGCTTCACCCTTATCCCCGGGTTCACCTGAGTGATGATATGATCAAGTTCTATTCCCTCTCACCACTCTCTACCACTCTCTACCACTGTGGATCACTGCAGGCAGCAGTGGCGAAGGTGCAACCGAGCGCCAAGAGGGAGGGATTCACCACCATCCCCGGAGTCACTTGGGACGACGTGGGGGCTCTGGCAGACGTGAGAGAGGAGCTGGAGTTTTCGATTTCTCGGCCGATCAAGTACCCTGAGGAGTATGAGGTGGGTTGAGTATGAGGTGGATTGAGTATGACGTGGGTTGAGTATGAGGTGGATTGAGTATGAGGTGGCTTCACCGCACCACCATTGCCGGGGTCACCTCAGCTCCCTCACCATCACTTGAGTAGGAGGACGGCGTTGGTGCTCTAAGTGATGTGAGGGGGGGAGGAGCTGGAGTTCTCCATCTTGATTTCTCGCCCCATCAAGTACCCCAAGGAGTATGAGGTGAGTTGGGGTGAGTTCGGGTGAGTTGGGGTGGGTTGAGGCGGGTTGAGGTGGGTTGAGTAGGAGGGCTTTACCGCCTTCCCTCGGGGTCAATTGGGACGACGTGGGAGCACTCTCGGATGTAAGGGAGGAGCTGGAGTTCTCCATCTCGCGACCAATTAAGTACCCCGAGGAGTATGAGGTGGGCTGGTTGGTGCTCATGCATACAGCATATGGGTTAATGTGATGGTTCCGTTGGGACAACGTGGGGGCACTCTCGGATGTGAGGGAGGAGCTGGAGTTCTCCATCTCTTGGCCCATCAAATACCCCGAGGAGTATGTGGTGGGTTGGCTGGTTACCATGCATGCAGTGCCCCTGGCCCCAGGCTGTGGCAAGGCAACACGCTGGTGGCCAAGCCCGTGCTCCTCTGCATCTCGGACACCCTCTCTTCACTTTCCTTTCTGTGTCCTTCTGTCTATCCGTCTGTCCCCCGCCCCAGGCCATGGGGCTCAGAGCAGCAACGGGCATTCTCCTCTACGGCCCGCCAGGCTGTGGCAACATGCTGGTGGCCAAGGCGACTCTCCTCTTCCACCCTCGCCTCACTTGCCTCTCTTGCCCCCTCTGTCTCTCTCTCTGTGTCTGTCCTGCAGGCCATGGGGCTCAGAGCAGCAACGGGCATTCTCCTCTACGCACCTCTGGGGTATGGCAAGGCGCTGGTGGTCAAGGCGATTCTCCTCATCTCTTTCACTCCCTCTCTTCTCCACCTGCCTTGCCTTGTCCCCCAGGCCATGGGGCTCCGAGCAGCAACAGGCATCCTCCTCTACGGCCCGCCAGGGTGTGGCAAGACGCTGGTGGCCAAGGCGATTGCCAACGATGCTGGGGCGAATTTCATATCCATCAAGGTATGCCATGTCATGTTTTACATGCCACAAATGCCACAAGTGCGCTACAGGGATGAAGCTATGGCTGTGGCAAGACTGTGGTGGCCAAGGCAATTGCCAGTGATGCCGGGGCGAACTTCATCGCTATCATCAAGGTATGCTGCTGTGCTTGCTAAAGCGTGGCGGTAAGGTATAGCTGGTATGGTATGCCATGAAAAATCGATCGCACTTGTTCTGGTTTGGCCCTACCCAACCCAACCAAGTGTTATGGGATTCAACTCTTGGCACAAACAGCCTCATGCACGTCAGTGTACATTCTTCCATACATTTTTCCCTACCAGAATTTTTCTTTCCATACCTCTATCCTAATTGTTCCCTTTTGAGATGTCTCAAAGGTCAGACTACGTGTGTCCCTACCAGAACTATCTATCCAGACCTCTATCCTAATAGTTCCCTCATCCCACACTCAGGGACCAGAGCTGCTTAACAAGTACGTGGGGGAGAGCGAGCGGTCAGTGCAGCAGCTGTTTGTGATGCAGCCTTGCTTCCTTTCTCCACCTTGCTCTCTCTTTCCTCCTCTCAACCCCCTCCTCCCCTCCAGGGACCAGAGCTACTCAACAAGTACGTGGGGGAGAGTGAGCGGTCGGTGAGGCAGCTGTTTGGGCGGGCAAGCTGGTTCAAAGGCACCCCAAATCTCTCTTCTCTTCCGCGCTCTACTTTTTTTCCTTTCTTCCCTCCTTTCCCTCTTCACCGATCAGGGACCAGAGCTGCTGAACAAGTATGTGGGGGAGAGCGAGCGGTCTGTGCGTCAGCTGTTTGACTCTATACCCTACCCTCTTCTCATCTGCCCTCTCCGCCCTTGCTTCCCCCCCCACTCTTTCTCTCGCTCTCAACCCCCTCCTCCACTCCAGGGTCCAGAGCTGCTGAACAAGTATGTGGGAGAGAGCGAGCGGTCTGTGCGTCAGCTGTTTGTGCGGGCGAGGGCGTCATCGCCCTGTGTGCTCTTCTTTGATGAGGTGAGGAAAGGAAGGATAAGGCGTGCTTCTCCTCTAAGGCACCGCCGCAGGTGGCTTTGTCTCTCATGTCAAGCTGTTCTGTTTGTGCGGGCGAGAGCATCGTCGCCCTGTGTGCTCTTCTTTGATGAGGTGAGGGAGCAATGTGGCGCATGTACTTGGCATGTTTCTGACAACGAGCTTTGAGTTGACTCAAAAGTGTCACCTTATCGCCACCTGTTTGTGCGAGCGAGAGCATCGTCGCCCTGTGTACTAATCTGTGATGAGGTGAGGAACTGAATGATTGCCCTTGCGCAACCAAAGTGAACCTCCTTTTGTTTGCACGATCGGTTTAGTCCGCTTCTGTTTTCCTTTTTAAGAGGTGAGCAGCTGAATGTTACTTTCAGCCGACCCAGACCAAAGCGACCTTTTCACGTGCGCTCGTTCAAGTCTTTCCTCTTTTCAGACGTTGTGAAGGTCTTTTACGTCATCCCAGTAATAGTTGACCCATCTGTTTCTGCCACATTCCCCCACCCCCTCCCCACCCACCTCCCCTCATGGAAGGTGGCTCCAAGGAAAGGTTCGGGCGACAACGGCTCTTAGAGTTTGGAGAGGGTGCTGATGGCCTCCCCCCACCCCTTCTCACCGCTCCCCACCGCTCTCCCTCCCATCCGACCTCCCCTCGCCGCTCCCCACCGCCACAGATGGACGCCATGGCTCCACGGAGAGGGTCTGACGGCAATGGAGCAGCAGAGAGAGTGGTGAGCTGATGGCCTTTCCTCACCCCTTCCCACCTCTCCCCACCTCCCTTTCTTTCTTCCTCTTCCCTCCTCTTCCCACTGAACGCTACAGATGGATGCAATGGCTCCAAGGAGAGGGTCTGACGGCAATGGAGCAGCAGAGAGAGTGGTCAACCAGGTGAGGCGACAGGTCAACGCCGGTCAACGCAGGTCAACCAGGTGAAGTGGCAGGTAAAGGTGAGGCAACCAGGTGTTTTCCTATTCCAAAACGCTTTGTGCGTGTTCTCATGGATGGAATATTTTGTGGTTTGTCTTTTCAGTAACCTTTTGCCATCGCGTTTCCAGGTGTGTTTTGAGTTGACTCAAAACACACCTTCAGTACCCTTTTGCCATCGCGTTTCCTTCTCATTTGCAAGTAATGCTTGCTTGGGCCTGACATGCTTTTTGCTTTTGTGCTTCTTATCATGATGCGGGAACAGCTTTTAACGGAGATGGATGGGCTTGAGTCACGCAAGAGCGTCTACATCATTGCCGCCACCAACAGGTGTGTGCGTGGTGGTAAAGAGCTTGCACATGATTGCGCACGTGAAGAGAGAGGCATGGTCGGGGTGAAGTTTTTGAGAGTTCTCAATTTTTTCCCTCCCTCCTCCCACCCTCCGAACCTCCCTCCTTTCTTCCTCAGGCCTGACATGATCGACCCAGCACTACTCCGCCCTGGTCGCCTTGACAAACTTCTTTTCATTCCGCTGCCCGACGCGCCATCTCGGGCAGCCATCTTGTGCACTCTCATTCGCTCGATTCCCCGAGCAGAAGACGTGAATGTTGAGCTAATGAATGAGCTGGCAGGTGCTGGGGGTGGTGGGTCAGCAGGTGCAGAGGCATGGGGGGCAACAGCAGCAAGGGAGGCAGCAGGGGCAGCAGCAGGGGAAGAAAAGACTGGCAGTGCGGAGCAGAGAGGAGGAGGAGGATCAGCAGGAGGAAGGGGAGGAGAGATAGATGGGAGTGTTAGACGAGGGGAGGAAAGGGCAAGGGCAGAGGAAGAGGAGGGGCAGAAAGCAAGGGGTGGGAAGGTGGGAGGAAAGACTCCGGGGGCGGGTAGAGGACGCAAGGCCCCCTGTGAAGGATTCAGTGGTGCTGACCTGGCAGCCCTGGTGAGTTGAATTTCCATTGACTTGGGTTGACTTGGGCTGTATGGGTTTGCTTGGTGCTGAACTGGCAGCTCTGATGAGTTGACTCTAGTTGACTATTTTGCTGCTGTTCTGGAACCGCTGGTGCATTTACTTCCGTTTTCCCTTCCTCAGTGCACTTTTCGTCACCCTTCCTCTCCCATGTGTTGTGTTCCACATGTGCAGGTGCGAGGGGCGTGTGTGATGATGGCATGCGTAGAACACATGAAGGGGGAAGGGTGGTGAAAGTTCCTGTTTGTCTCCCTTCGTTTTGCCCATCATCACAATATTCTTCAGAACTCCCTCTCTCATGTGTTGTGTTCCACTCATGTAGGTGCGAGAGGCGTGTGTGATGGCACTACGAGAGCGCATGTCCATTCGACGCACAGAAGCGGAAGCAGCTCAGCTTCACCCTACTGCTTCTGCTCCTGCGACTGCCTCCGCCGCCGCTGCTGCCGCCGCCGCTGCCGCTGCTGCTGCTGTTGCTCCTCTTCCTATTGCTGCGTCGACTGCTGCCGAACCTGTCGCCCCTGCTGCCATGTTGGACAAGGGGCTGCAGGCTCGGCCCGGACCTGTAGTGGAGGCTCGGCATTTCAAGAAGGCACTGACTCGAATTGTCCCTTCGGTTTCTCCTCAGGTGAGCTTGTTGTGGGTTTGTATGTTAGCTTGTACGTGTGTCTGTTTGTTTTGGCCGTGTGATCTTGTGGACCAAGTGAACTTGTGTACCAGTTGAACTTACAATGCGAACAAATTGGAGCTTGTGAGCTTGTATGTGGATCAATTGAACTTGTGTATGTATCTGCCTCCGATTTGTTAGCATGCTTTTTGCCTGCTTATTTTTATCTGTGTCGAATCGTATTTTCTTATGCCGAATCAGCATATCAATCTCCCGGAGCTGCATTTTATTGTACTATATTGCGTAAGCGTATATTTCATCGTGCTGTATCAGATTGTACACGATCGCACTGTTCTGTATCTCACTGTACTCTATCTCATGGGCATGTATCACAATATACGAGTCATCTCCGCGACTGCTATCACAATAGATTTCGTCTCACAATACTGTCTCACATTGTACTGTATCGAACTGTACTGTATCGCATTGTACGTTGCAGGATATCAAGCGCTACGAGGACCTTCGCCGCAACCTTAGGGGTGCCCGCTACCACATCGCGGAGTAGAGGGGCGAAGGGGAGGGCAGAGGAAGGGGAGAGCGGGAATCTACTGCTGTTTTGAGTCGACTCAAAAGGGCAGAGGAAGGGGAGAGCGGGAATCTACTGCTGTTTTTTTCCTTTGCTTAAGCCTACTGCACGCACGCAGCTCACTGAGCCATGTCCGGATCTCGCGTTACCACATCGCGGAGTAGCGGGGTGAAGGGGAGGGCAGAGGAAGGGGAGAGGAAGCGGAGGGAGAGGAGGGGACCCTCGAGACCTCCAACCTTAGGGGAGAGGTCCCCTCCTCTTAGGGGAGGGGTGGGCGCTACCACATCGCGGAGTACAGATAGGGAGGGAGCGCACTTAAAGGGGAGAGGGATGGGTGAGGGGAGTGGTCCCAGACCTTCACGCTACGAGGACCTTCACGCTACGAAGACCTTCACGCTACGAAGACCTTCACGCTACGAAGACCTTTGCTGCAACCTTAGGGGTGTGCGCCACCACATTGTGGAGTAGAGGGAGGGAAAGGTAAGAGGGAGGGGGGAGGAAAGGGCAGAAGAAGGGGAGAGGAAGGGGAGAGGAAGGGGAGAGGAAAGGGAGAGGGAGGGGAGAGGAAAGGGAGAGGGAGGGGAGAGGAAAAGGAGGGGACCTTGGGGCCTCTAACCTGAGGGGTGTGTACTACCAGATTGGCGAGTAAGGGGGGTGGAAATGAAGGAAAGGAGGGGCAAGTCCTTTGAGACGTCTCAAAAGTCGCAACCTTAGGGCACATTGGTGAGTAAGGGGGGTGGAAATGAAGGAAAGGAGGGGCAAGTCCTTTGAGACGTCTCAAAAGTCGCAACCTTAGGGCACATTGGTGAGTAGACGGGGGTGGAGAAGAAGGAAAGGGAGGAAAGGGCAGAGGAGGTGGAGAGAAGGGGAGGGGAGGGAAGGGCAGAGTAGGGGAGAGCAGGGGGAGGGGACCTGGGACTTCCAACCTGAGGGGTGCATGCATGCGTGCTACCACATTGCAGAGTAGATGTGCTGTGCTGATGAGACAGAAATTTGGTTGCAACTAATTGTTTTGGTTGCAAGTAATTGTTTTGGTTGCAATTGATTGTTTTGGTTGCAACTATTTGTTCAGGTTGCAACTAATTGTGTTGTGCTGGGACAGTACCATAATTTGATTCCACACAACAGTGACTTAATTTCATTCAAGAGAGCAACTACACATTGGGAGATCAAGGTTTCATACTGTTGCTGCTACTGGAGTCAGGATTCCAAGCCACTCGGACCAACTTCTCCCGCCGCGAACCTTTCTCATACCTCCTCCCGACCCCCACGGCCGCATCAAGTCTTTCCTCGAGTCTTTCACAGTGAAATTCCACCTCTCTGGTCCAACCCCGTCTTGCTTCCTCTTCCTCATCCCCCGCCAAATCACCTCCTTCTCCTCCCCACTCAACCAACACCAGGGCTTCAGCCGCTCCTCCAAACCGTCGTGCACCGCCCACCACCGCTTAAAAGCGGCTTCGTTAACAAACTTAAGGTCGTGAAGCGACGCCGACAGGTTACAATCGAAATCGCGGAAGCATACCCAGGGTTTTCGGCCGAGGAAGTGAATGGCGTGCAGCTGGGGAGGATCAGAGGAGAACAAGGCATTCTGCGTAGCCACTGCCTCGTTATAGGCAGCGTAAGGTCTTTTGCCTGTGCCACAGGTGGTGTGCGGTGGTTTGTGTTTGAGAACGGTAGTGTGGTCTGGGAGGCGGTGCCACCAGGGGAAGACGTTGTTGATGTAACCCTGAGAAGGGAGAGTGAGATGGAGAGAGGTGGAGAGGGGTGGAGAGGGGTGGAAAAGGGGTGGAGAGGGATGGAGCAGGGTTGAGCTGGATGGGGGGACGACTTTTGAGACGTCTCAAAAGAGGGATGGAGCAGGGTTGAGTTGGATGGGGGGACGACTTTTGAGACGTCTCAAAAGAGGGATGGAGCAGGGTTGAGTTGGATGGGGGGACGACTTTTGAGACGTCTCAAAAGAGGGATGGAGCAGGGTTGAGTTGGATGGGGGGACGACTTTTGAGACGTCTCAAAAGAGGGATGGAGCAGGGTTGAGTTGGATGGGGGGACGACTTTTGAGACGTCTCAAAAGAGGGATGGAGCAGGGTTGAGTTGGATGGGGGGACGGAAGGGAAGGAAAGTTGTCTTGGCTTGGAACTTTTGGTGTGCCCTGAGAGGTGGTGGCCCTGGAGGAAAGTCGTTGCTGGTGGGAGGGGGGAGGGATGGAGAGGGATGGAGAGCGATAGGGAGGGATGGGGAGGGATGGAGAGTGATGGAGGGGGATGGAGAGGGATGGGAGTCACTTCGAAGGACAATCAAAGCCAAGCCAGCACACACCGAGGTGTCTTGTCTCTTGAGTCGACAGTATAACTGGTCGACATAGTTGTAAGGGACGACGTTGGGGATGCTGGCGAGGAGGAAGCGTATGTTTTTTGAGAACTCTTAAAAATCATACAATGCTGGCGAGGAGGACGTTAAATTAAAACATGCTTCAAGTGGCCGCGTGCTGATAAACCCAACCCAAGCGTGCCACGTCCACCGCATGTATGAACAAGTGTTTTGAGACGTCTCAAAACACTTGTTCATAAACGTTGGGGATGCTGGCGAGGAAGAAGTTAAACATCCTTGAGGTGGCCGCGTGCTGATGAACCCAAGCGTGCCACGTCCACCGCACACAACCCAGCCATACCGTACAGCCGCCCATCACACACCCAGCACCCACCACAGCAACTGCACACACCTGGTCCTCATAGCTGTAGGCGGCTTTTGAGGCGCTGCAAAAAAAAACACACCTGGTCTCCGCAATTGTAAGAGAAGATGTTGGGGATGTTGGCAAGGAGGAAGGCGAACGTGCAGTCTGCCGGCTCGAGAACCAGCAGGCCCGAGTTGAAATGGTTGTCGTCGTTGGGGGCAGCAGAGAGCTCGGGGAAGAGGAAGAGGTGTGTGAGCGGGCGCAGGGGCAGCACGTCCGTGTCTAGATAGACGATTCGCTCGTACTCTGTCAACTGCCACAGGCGCAGCTTGCTGCAATGGGAAGGGAGGTAGGGTAGGAGAAGCGGGAAGGGCGGCGGGAGCGGGCGAGGAACAGGTGTGTGAGCGGGCGCAGCAGGGAAGCACATCCGTTTCTGCCACCGGCCACGGACGAAGCAGGTGTGTTTTGAGTCGACCGGCCACCGTTTCTGCCACCGGCCACAAAACACACAATGCCACCGGCCACGGACGAAGCAGGGAAGCAGGGATAGACGATTCGTATTCGGTTAACTGCCACAGGCGTAGCTTGCTGGGAGAGAGGAGAGAGAGGGCAGGGGATCGAGAAACAGGAGGGAGCAGGGAGTGGCTGGCTCCCACCTCTTCTCCTCTCACCTCAAGTTCCACTCATTATGGCTCCCTGGTCGCGACCACGGGCTCTTGATCCTTTCAATCTCCACCACCCGCCATCCCGCCGCCTCAAGCCCTCTCCTGCTCTCCGCCCCCACCTCTGCTGATACCAGCGCCACCAGCTCCGCCTCTGCTGCTGCATGATGCTCCCCCCTGCCGCCCCCCTCCCCCCCGCTCCCCCCGCCCCCCCCCTCTCCACCCCCTCCGCCTCCCCCCTCGCTGCCGCTGCCGCCGCCGCCACCGCTGCTGCTGCCGCCGCCGCCGCCGCCGCCGCCGCCGCTGCTGCTGCTGCTGTCGCTGCTGCTGCTGTTTTTGCTGCTGTCGGTGGTGGTGCTGTGGGTGGGGCTTGAGAAGAGAGCGCGGGGGAGCGTGAGGCCGTTGGAGCGGAGGGCGTGGGCGAGGACGACTGCGCCACACACGTACTCCTCCTTGCTGTGTAGCACCGTGGCAAAGGCGAAGCGGGGTGGTGGGGCGGAGGGGGGACGCGCTGCAGGGGAGGCAGGGAGGGCGGGGGAAGGGGGAAGAAGGGGGGAGGGCGGAGGGCGTGGGCGAGGACGACTGCGCCACACACGTACTCCTCCTTGCTGTGTAGCACCGTGGCAAAGGCGAAGCGGGGTGGTGGGGCGGAGGGGGGACGCGCTGCAGGGGAGGCAGGGAGGGCGGGGGAAGGGGGGAGCAGGGGAGGGGCGAGGGGAAGGGGCGGAATGGGAAGAGTGAGTGGGAAGGGAGAGAAAGAAAGGCTTGGGGTGAGAGCGGTGTGAGAGGGGTGTGAGAGGGGTGAGAAGGGTGTGAGAGGAGGGTCGTTGCAGGAGCACCGCACCTGAGGCGAGGAGGCGCCCGCGTTAGGTTGCGCCGGCCGGGGCGCACGACCTTTTTGAGACACCTGAAATTCCGCACTTGAGGTGACTTTTGAGTCGACTCAAAAGTTTGCGCCGGGGCGCAAGACCTTTCTGAGACACCTGAAATTACGCACCTGAGGCATCCACAGTGGGTTTTGCTAGAGCGCACGACCCCCCCAGGCTGGATGCGAGCGCACGACCCCCCCGGCTGGATGCGAGCGCGCACGTCGCGCGCCGTCACGTTGTACAGCCACACGTCGCCCGCCATTGCCGTCATTCCATGTGAGGCGTCACACACGGCACACAATATATACCTGAGGCGCCCGCTGTGGGTTGCGCCAGGGAACACGATCCTGGAGGCTGGATGCGAGCGCGCACGTCGCGCAACGTCACGTTGTATAGCCACACGTCGCCCGCCATTGCCGTCGTCCCGCCACTGCCACCGTTGACAGCGGCGTGCGCAGCAGCAGCAGCCTTAGCAGCAGCAGAAGCAGCCTTAGCAGCAGCAGCAGCAGCAGCAGCAGCAGCAGCAGCAGCAGCAGCAGCAGCAGGAGCAGCAGGAGCATGCAGCGTGTAGGGCTGTGCATCCACGAGGAATCGGCAATGGAAGAGGTTCAGCGGCGGGCGGCAGGGGGAGACAATCACGAGGGGAATCCAGGGGCGGGGGGACTGGGGGAAAGGTTGGGGAGGATGCGGGGAAAAGGTGGGGAAGGTGCAGCAAGGTGGGGGAAACTTATGAGGCGACTCAAGAAGCGGCAATGGAAGAGGTTGAGTGGCGGGCGGCAGGGGGAGACGATCACGAGGGGAATCCAGGGGTGGGGGGACTGGCGGAGGGAAGGGGGAAAGGGGAGGGAAAGGGGGGGGGAAGGGGGGGGGGGGGAGGGGGAAAAGGGGTGGGGGAAAGCGGGGGAAGAGAGCGAGGCAGTGTGAGGGCGAGGATACGCAGAGAGGCACATTGCGAAGGGAGTACTAGAAAGGGGGAGACTAAGGGGGAGACCAAGTGATATCAGCAGCAGCACACACCGGGCCGGCACGATATCATGATGAGCTGAGCACGATATCATGATGAGCTGAGCACGATATCATGATGAGCTGAGCACGATATCATGATGAGCTGAGCACGATATCATGATGAGCTGAGCACGATATCATGATGAGCTGAGCACGATATCATGATGAGCTGAGCACGATATCATGATGAGCTGAGCACGATATCATGATGAGCTGAGCACGATATCATGATGAGATGAGCTGAGCACGATATCATGATGAGCTGAGCACGATATCATGATGAGCTGAGCACGATATCATGATGAGCTGAGCACGATATCATGATGAGCTGAGCACGATATCATGATGAGCTGAGCACGATATCATGATGAGCTGAGCACGATATCATGATGAGCTGAGCACGATATCATGATGAGCTGAGCACGATATCATGATGAGCTGAGCACGATATCATGATGAGCTGAGCACGATGTCATGATGAGCTGAGCACGATGTCATGATGAGCTGAGCACGATATCATGATGAGCTGAGCACGATATCATGATGAGCTGAGCACGATATCATGATGAGCTGAGCACGATATCATGATGAGCTGAGCACGATATCATGATGAGCTGAGCACGATATCAGCACACACCTTACTGACGAATCGTGCGAGCGACAGCATCAGCTGCTGCCATCGCACGTCCCTCGCCAACGAGCCGTTCGCTGGGCGGCATGGCACCACCGCAACCACCGCATCCACCTCATCCGCCACGTCAGCCACGTATGCCACGTCATCACGGTTCCCGTTTTCCTCCTCCCACGCCGCACGCGGGACAGCAGGGCAAGTGAGGCTGGAGCCGCAACGATCGTACGGATTAACATCTTGGTAAAAGCTGTCCCACGTCAGGTTTCCTGCCGGTTCTCCCGGCGCAGAAACCGGCACGATTTGGAACAGGGGCGCTGTCAATCTGCCATAAAAATCCACCCACATCGCCTGGTGAAATGCCTCCGCGGCAGGACCCGCGTTAAACGCGGCCACGCGGGTTAATATCCGCGGCGACTTCCCTGCGGCGGCGGCGGCACCCTGTTGCTGCGTTGGCGCCCGCCGCTCCTGCTCATGTGCGGCCTGCCGCCGGCGCGGCTGCCATTGCGACTCCGCCCCGACGCCATCAACGCCGCGCAGCGTCGCAGCCGCCGCCGCCGCCGCCTCCTCTTCCCACGTCGCCAGCGCGCGGAGGCCGCGCAAGAACGCGGCGGAAAGGGCGGCGGCGGCATCCGCCGCGGGTCGGCGGGATGATAGCGAAGGCGAAGTCGTCGCCGCGGCGGCGGCGTTGAGGGGATCGTGGAAGCGGCGGGGGGGGAGGCGGCCGCGGAGCGCCAGCGAGAACAGAAGGAGCGCGACGGTAGCACAGAGCGCGGAACGGATGATTCCGCGGGGGGGGGCACCTCCAAGTCCGCGGTAGTAGTAGTAGTAGCCGCGGCGGAATGATGATGATGCTGCGGCGAGTCGTCGCGGAAGTGAGGCCGCCAGGAACGTCATGATTGGCTAAGACTCTCCGGGTCGTACTACGAGAAATAAGATTAGTATTTTTACTACTACAAGTAGTAGTAGACCTCAACTTGAACTTGAACTTGGATGTTGGTGTTCCGTTGGCGGCTGCAACTGCTGTGCCAACCGTCGGGCCGCCGCGTCGATGCTTCTGCTCTGCTCAATTGGGTGAGTGAGCATTACGTCAATAGAGTAGCTGTCTGCCGGGCAGGTTTAGAGAAGGTTGGAAACACGTCTATATCCCTATCGTACCTGGCCGATTCGGGCGATATCTGGGGGAAGTGGAGGTTGCTTCCCCAAGTTGGGGAAGAGGAAGTTGTACTGTCCTGTAGACGTCTGTCTGTCTGCACGTGAGCGCGGCGGCGTGGATGGTCCAAGATTGCGCGTCGCTGTGTAATCAGGGCAGTTGATTGTCGAGTCGAGTTACAGGCGTGCTAAAAACGTTTCGTGTCCTGCTTGAAATCCTCCCCAAACGTTCCTAATTCTATACTGTCCACTCCGAAACGGCAAACGATCTCACCCGCCGCATTGTAAGGGAACACTTCTGAAACGCTTTACTATGCCACAGTGTCACGCCACTCGGAAGCCACGCAGTCAGGGTGTTGTTCCCACCCACTCTCAACGTGCCGCCGCGGGGTGTATCCGTGAAGATAGGAGTCTCTCGATGTTCCGCCACGTAGGTACATTCAAACGTAGGGGTTCCAGCGCTGGCAATTTCCTAACCTAACGACCTAATTCCTCGCCTAGTCAGCTGTCACGTCCGGACAGTTGTCCTCGCGCTTGCTCTATCCGCAAGCTGCTGCACAACAGGTACGTTATACAAACTGATGCCTGATTGAGCCCCTCCCGGCTGCCTTGTGAAGGGGGCGTATAAGCTGTATCGTGCATTTCGCATAAGTTCGTCAATTTCGTAGCTAGCTAAAAAGAATTCGCATGTGCTTATAAACAAGACCCTGCTACCTAGTTACCTAGTTTGACTTCAGTCTCTTCTGCTTGACTTCGGTCTCTTCTGCTTGACGCGCTTGTAATGTGGGTGCATGAAGCTGGGGAAACAACCTCGGGTGCAGCGTATCCATCCGGCGCAAGGCAAATTCGCGCGCATGGGGTGAGCATCAGCTGGCAATTCGCGTATATGCTTATACTGTACTAGAGTCGGCATCCTTGAAGGTACAGTATTCAGCTTTCCTGAGTGCGTCTGTTTGTCGGATCTCACCAAAATCATCATTCGTGGTAAGGACGCGATCATTCTGTTACCCGCATGTAAGCGAGCTACTGTACCGTAACAGTTTTGTCTAAAACACACATACATTCTGACTTGTAGATGACTCAGGGCGTGTTCCTACGGCCCCTTATCAGGCCAACCTCTTATCAAGCTCGCTGCTTTTACCACTGAAAATTTCCTAAACCCGAAAACCCTCGCTACTTTTACCAGGCAAGGCTGACAAGAGGTTTGCCTGATACGAGCGTAGGAACACGCCCTCCGCGTAGATTCTTGGTGATTGTTACGGGTGCAATGGATCGAGGTAGCTAGAATTGCACTAAAGTGTCAAACGAGTACAAAATGTGAGCGAAGGCATGAGCGAACATTTATACGCGAAACATGCAAACAGTAACGCGGTGCGTGCGAGCTAGCTAGTGCTATGCTGGCAGCGAGGCTCGGGCTAGTCCCGAAGCGTAGGCCGACACGGCCGGGCCAGCAGTGCGAGGTTGGGCAAAACCGTGCGCGCGAAGTTGGCGAAGCCCCGTTAGCAGTAACGGGCGAACAACGGCTGTTGCTGCACACGATGTAGTCGGACTCCGTAAGGAATGCCGAGGAAATCCATTACACTACCTCCCCCCCCCTCAAGAAGCCCCCTCCGCTACGCGAGTGCTTGTATATCGCGGAATCCCCGGCTCCTCAGGTACACTTGCAGGGCAGGGTGGTTTTCGATGTTGGCCAGGGGCACCCAGCTATCTTCAGTTGGCGTGCGGTCCTTCCAGCGAACGAGGAATTCAATCCTCCTGATTCCCGTGGGGTGGCAAATCCGATGGCTCAGGACTTTTTCGGGCTCGATGATCGGCTCTGATGCAGGGCGAGTCATAGAATGCGGGCGGTGATGAGGCAGTTGGCTGGTGGTTGGGATGTATGGGCGAAGTAGGCTGACGTGGAACGATGGGCTGATGTACCAGTCGGTCGGTAACAGTAACTTCGCGGTTACTGCCATGATCATGTGGTTGCTTTGGAATGGGCCAGGTCGGTAACAGTAAGTGCGCGGTTACTGGCGTGATCATGTGGTTGATTTGGAATGGGCCACAGTAGCGCGGTCGAAGCTTCGGTACGTCGGGCAGTCGCAGATTGTGCGTGTCGAGCAGTACGTAATCCCCTGACTGGTACGTGACTGAGCGGCAGTGGCGGTCAGCATTGCGCTTAGCGATGACTTTTGCCTTTTTAATTGCTTCAGCGGCTCTGGTGCGGGCAGCTTGCAGAATTTCGGCGAACTGATGTGCACGTGGTGTTGGGTTGTCCGGACTCGGCGTCATAGGCACTGTAGGATTTTGCCCGTAGTTCGGGTAGAAGGGGGACTGCTCCGTTGTTGGTGACGTGGCGCTGTTGTACGCGAACTCAATCAGCGGCAGCTGCTGCTCCCAAGTGGTCGGGTCGTCGCACGTGGCACGAATCAACTGCTCCATCGTCTGATTCGTCCGTTCCGTTTGGCCGTCGGTCTCGGGGTGGTACGACGAGCTGAACTGTAGCCGTCTCCCGAACTGCTCCCAGAGGTTCTTCCAGAAGTTGCTGGTCAATTTCGTGTCCCTGTCGCTGATAATCGCTGCTGGTATCCCGTGCAGGCGAACAACGGCTGCGATGAACAGGCGAGCGGTCTCCTCAGCTGAGATAGACTTTTTGCACGCAGCGAAGTGTGCCATCTTCGTCAACCTGTCAACGACGACCATCACCGCGTCGTTACCCCTAGAGTTCGAAGGTAACCCCATGACGAAGTCTATGGTAACCTGCTGCCAGGTGCGCTCGGGCGGTGGTTGTCAGATTTATATGACATAGTTTCTGTAGGCTATAGTGGGGTAGCACATATGGGGTACAGGGTTTCTAGGGTTGTATTTGTACCCAATCTTCCATAGTCATTTCATTCCTGTTTTCCTTGCTTCACATGGTATAGAGCGGGTCCTGCCTTAGGACCGTTTTTTTTAGGGCCCACCGAAGCGCGCCCCGAGGCGCGCCTTTTTTTTAGCGACCCCTCGGGTCGCCTTTTCCCTCGCGGCCCCGCTGTCCCTCAGACGCGGCCCCGCCACCTCTCCTGATCGCGGCCCCGCCGCCTGTTTGACGCAGCCCCGCCGCCTCCCCTGACGCGGCCCCGCCGCCTCCCCTGACGCGGCTCCGCCGCCTCCCCTGACGCGGCCCCGCCGCCTGTTTGACGCGGCCCCGCCGCCTCCCCTGACGCGGCCCCGCCGCCTCCCCTGACGCGGCTCCGCCGCCTCCCCTGACGCGGCACCGCCGCCTCCCCTGACGCGGCTCCGCCGCCTCCCCTGACGCGGCCCTGCCGCCTCCCCTGACGCGGCTCCGCCGCCTCCCCTGCCGGCCCGCCGCTGCTCCTTCCGGCCCGCCACTGCACCTGCCGGCCCGCCGCCTCTGACGGCCTCGCCGCTGCACCTGCCGGCCCGCCGCTGCACCCTACGGCCCGCCGCCTGCACCTGCCGGCCCGCCGCTGCACCTGCCGGCCCGCCGCTGCACCAGCCGGCCCGCCGCTGCACCTGCCGGCCCGCCACTGCACCGGTCAACCCGCCGCTGCACCTGACGGCCCCGCCCCTGGATCTCCTGGCCGAGCCGCCCCAGCAGCCGAACCGCCCGTGAGCCGAGCCGCCCGACGCCGAGCCGCCCGGGACCCGAGCCGCCCTGCCGCCGAGCCGCCCGGGAGCCGAGCCGCCCTGCACCCGAGCCGCCCAGCCGCCGAGCCGCGCGGGAGCCGAGCCGCCCTGCGCCCGAGCCGCCCAGCAGCCGAGCCGCCCTGCACCCGAGCCGCCAGGTCGCTGAGCCGCCTTTCTGCATACCTACACGACCTGCCCTGCCTGGTGAGCACAGTCCCACTGACACTGCGAGCTCTTTCCCTGCTGCTTGCACTGCGTCGCTGTCGTCGCCATGGCTACCCCTAGTGTCCTAGCTTTTGACGCTGAGGGTCGCGCCATTGATTTTGAGGTCTGGTTAGACGACCTGCAGCTGTTCTTACAGTGCGACAGGGCTGACGACCTTTCTCTCTTTGATCTCACCTCTGGCGCCTCTCCTGCTCCTGCTGCTGATGCTGATCCCGCTGTCCGCTCTAAGTGGGCCACCCGCGATGCTGCTGCACGTCTTGCTGTGCGTCGCCACCTCCCTACCTCTGAGCGTGCGCACTTCAGTCAGTACAAGAGTGCTCAGACCTTGTACGACGCTGTAGTTGCGCGCTACTCCTCCCCTGCCACTGCTGCACTGAGCCGTCTCATGCTTCCCTACCTCTTTCCTGACCTCTCTGCCTTTCCCACTGTAGCTGACCTCATTACGCACCTCCGCACTAGTGACACTCGCTACCGCGCCGCCCTTCCTGCTGAGTTCTGCGCTAAGAACCCCCCCCCCATGTACATCGCTCTCTACTACGTAGTCGCGCGCCTCCCTGACTCCCTTCGCGTCGTCAGGGACCACTTTCTCGCAGTCTGTCCCACCACCCTCACCGTCGACCTCCTCGAGAAGGCCCTCCTCGCAGCGGAGAAGAGCATAGTCGCTGTAGGTGCTTCTCGTGGTGACCCTCGCACCCCCATCTTTGAGGGGTGCTCTCCTTCCCCCTTGCTGCCCTCTGTTGCCTCTGCTGCTGCTGCCGACCTGCTTGGTCTTGAGTCGGTCGGCGCGGCGTCTGCCCCTAGTGGGAGACGTCGCTCCAGCAAGGGCAAGGGGGGCAAGGGCGCGGGTGGAGCTGGAGGGGGCGGTGGCGGTGGCGGCGGTGGCGGCGGAGGGAGTGGGGGTGGCGGCGGGACTAGTGGCGGGGGTGGTGGTGGTGGTGGTGGCAGCAGCGGCGGAGATGGTGGTGGTGGTGCCAGCGGTGGTGGTGGAGGCAGCGGCGGAGGTGGAGGCGGCGGAGGTGGAGGCGGTGGAGGCGGCAGCGGAGGAGGCAGTGGTGGTGGAGGAGGTGGAGCTGGTCGGGGTGGTACCCAGCAGCGTAGCGGCGGTGGTGGTGGCCAGCGCTCGCAGCGGCAGCAGCAGCAGCGCTCGCGGGACATCCCTTCGCCTCAGCAGCTTCGTGAGTGGTACGCTGGGCGTCAGAGGGGTGGGGGTACTGGTCCCTGCACCTACGTTCTTCGTTCCGGCGACCGCGCGGGTGAGCAGTGTGGGGGTGCCCACGCCACCCAGCGCTGCTTTGGCCGCCTGACGGACGCCTGGCGTCAGCAGTTCCCTGGGGCTAGTGAGATCCCTCGCTGGGATGAGCTTCTCAGGGCTGGTGTAGCGATCTTTGATCTTGATTTTGATGCTATCCTTACTGCTATGTATGTTGTGGATTATAGTGAGGAGAATGAGGGTTACCGTTGTTTCCAGCCCGACCCGGGCATTGGTACTGCTGCGCTAGGTGCTTGTGAGGCTGCTGCTCTAGGTGCCAGTGCGTCTGCGCTCTCAGGTACTGGTGAGACTGCGCTCTCAGGTACTGCATCGTCCTCGTCCTCCCTCACTTTCACACTTGACTCCGGAGCTTCTCGCTCCTTCTTTCGAGACCGCACTACCCTTACGCCGCTCGGCCGGCCGGTTGCAGTCTCCCTTGCTGACCCCTCTGGGGGTCCTGTCCTGTCTCACTTCTCAACTGTCCTCCCGTGTCCGGCTGCCCCTTCGGGCACCCTGTCGGGTCTGTACCTTCCCTCGTTCTCTACGAACTTGGTGAGTGGAGCGGACCTGCAGGATGTGGGTGTTCACCAGTTCACTCCTGCGAGTCAGCGGGTGACCCACTGCACGGAGGCACGCACAGGCCGACACCTGGCCACGTTCTCGCGTCGGCCGGGGTCGAGTCTCTACACCCTGACCGTTGAGTCTCCTCCTGTCCCTGCGTCTGGTCAGGTGGCTGCGTCGGGTCAGGTACTTGCTGCTGCGTCCCGGTCAGGTCCTGAGTCTGCCCCCTGTTCTTGTCGCCTCCTGTCTCACGAGACTCTCCTGTGGCACCACCGTCTTGGCCACCCCTCCTTGCCCCGTCTTCGGAGCATGGCTTCCCGTGTCCTTGTCTCTGGTCTTCCCCAGTCTCTCCCTCCTCTCCCCTCCGGGCCAGGACCTTCCTGTGTCCCCTGTGTTGAGGGTCGCCTCCGGGCTACTCCTCACTCCTCCCACTTCCCCCCGACAGAGGCTCCCCTGCAGACACTTCACATGGATGTGTGGGGCCCAGCCCCCGTCCGTGGGCAGGGTTACGAGCGCTACTTCCTGTTGGTGGTTGACGACTACTCGCGTTACACCACAGTCCTCCCCTTGCGCAGCAAGGGTGAGGTCACTGAGGTGCTGATCGACTGGATCCGCGAGGCTCGTCTCCAGCTCAGGAAGAGCTTCGTCTCGGACTTTCCTGTTCTGCGTCTGCACTCTGACAGAGGCGGAGAGTTCTCTTCTCGCCTTCTGCGAGACTACTGTCGTGCACGGGGGATCCGCCAGACCTTCACGCTTCCGGACTCACCACAGCAAAATGGGATTGCTGAGCGCCGCATTGGCATGGTCATGGATGTCGCTCGTACGTCCATGATGCATGCGGCTGCCCCCCATTTTCTGTGGCCGTTTGCGGTGAGGTACGCGGCGCATCAGCTCAACCTTCACCCCCGGGTCTCTCGACCTGCGATGTCCCCAGCCTTGCTGTGGACGGGGAAGGTTGGCGATGCGTCTGTGTTCCGTGTCTGGGGATCTCGGGCGTTTGTCCGCGACTTGTCTGCGGACAAGCTGTCCCCTCGTGCTGCTCCCTGTGTCTTCCTTGGCTTCCCCACTGACGCCCCAGCGTGGCAGTTTTACCACCCCTCCTCTCGTCGTGTTCTGTCCTCCCAGGACGTCACGTTCGACGAGTCAGTCCCCTTCTACCGTCTCTTCCCCTACCGCACTCCTTCCCTCCCCCCTCCCCCGGACTTCCTTGTGCCGGTTCCCCCCCCGGTAGACCCCCTCCCCCCTCAGGTTCCTGCCCCCTCAGGTGTGTCCCAGGTAGACGCAGTTGACCCGGTCGAGGTTACTGGTGACTCTGGTGCTGCTGCGGGTGCTGAGCCTGGGGGTGCTGACTCTGGGGGTGCTGTGCGTGGGGGTGCTGAGCCTGGGGGTGCTACTGCTGGGGGTGCTGGGCCTGAGGGTACTACTGCGGAGGGTGCGGAGCCTGGGGGTGCTGAGCCGGGGGGTGCTGTGCCTGGAGGTGCTGGGTCTGGGGGTGCTGGGTCGGGAGCTGCTGAGCCTGGGGGTGCTGAGCTGGGAGCTGCTGGGCCTGGGGGTGCTGCGTCTGGAGCTGCTGAGCCTGGGGTTTCTCCTGCTGCTGCGTCTCGCCGGGAGCCCCTCTCTCCACAGGAGCTGCGCGAGTGGTTCGCTCGCCGCTGGAGGCGTGCTGCTGAGTCTGGAGGTGCTGCTGGAGCTGGAGCTTCTTCGACCGTCGAGGGTGCGGGTGCTGCCGGTCCCGGAGCTGCTGGACCTGCGGGTCCTCCCGGAGCTGGAGCTGCTGCGGGCGCTGGTGCTGAGCCTACTTCTGTTGGTCCTGCCGCTGGAGGTGTGGGTGGCGCTGGTGCTGTCGCTGAGGGTGCTGGTGCTGTCCCTGCTGCGTCTGGAGCTGCAGCGCGGCCTCGGCCGTACTTCGTTCCGCTCCTGCAGCAGGTTCTTGGTCTTTCTCCTCCAGTAGAGGGTCCACCGCCTGTCCAGTCACAGTCCCTGCTGGAGCCTTCCTCTCCACTGCTTGCTCCCTCTCCTTACACTGGTCCTACTGGAGGTCTCGTGAGCGTCGTGAGCCTGCGTCTCGTCCCGCGTCGCCTGTTCGCACTGCTCGCGCTAGTGGTCGCAGTTCGCGTCAGCGTCCTCCTCCTGTCCCTGGCACGCACCGGATGTCTTTGCGTCCGTCCACTCCTCCTCTGCGTGCCCCTTTGCCTTCTCCTCATGAGTCTTCTCTTCCTGCGCTTGCCGACCCTGGGTCGGACTCTCTTCGTGCTGCCAGTCCTACTGTCACGCGTCTGCTTGCTACTGTCGTCACTGACCCCTCTTTTGAGTCCACTGCTGCGTCTGCTCTAGTCGCTAAGCTCGTCGACTTTGCTGCTCGCTGTCGTCTCGACTACGCTGCTGGTCTTGTTGCTGAGTCTGCGTCTGTCTGTCCTCCGTCCGTCGGGGGTGAGTGTGCTCTTGGCACGGACGTCCTAGAGGACAGGCAGGAGGAGTTACAGTGTCTAGCGACTGCTTCACCTCATCTCGCGTCTGTACTGCTTGCCCCTGAGGGAGACCCGGATGCACTAGACATCCCGACTCCGCGTTCTTACGCGGAGGCCGTAGAGGGTCCCTACTCCTCTCAGTGGCAGGCAGCTATGGATGCAGAGATGGCTTCCTGGAAGTCCACAGGCACCTACGTTGACGCGGTTCCCCCTCCTGGGGCGAACATCGTCAGTGGCATGTGGATCTTCAGGGTGAAGCGGCCGCCGAGCTCTCCACCTGTCTTCAAGGCACGGTACGTTGCTCGTGGCTTCAGTCAGCGGCAGGGAGTTGACTACTTTCAGACCTTCTCTCCCACCCCGAAGATGACTACTCTTCGGGTGCTGCTGCACATAGCCGCTCAGCGCGACTACGAGCTTCACTCTCTCGACTTCAGCACTGCGTTCTTGCAGGGTAGCCTGCACGAGGAGATCTGGCTTCGCCGTCCACCTGGCTTCACTGGGACTTTCCCTCCTGGCACCCAGTGGAGCCTCCGACGGCCAGTCTACGCTCTCCGCCAGGCACCGCGAGAGTGGCACGACACACTGAGGACTACGCTTGCGGCTCTTGGGTTTGCTCCTTCTACTGCTGACCCGTCGCTGTTTCTTCGCACCGACACTTCCCTGCCGCCGTTCTACATCCTCGTGTACGTCGACGACTTGGTCTTTGCCACAGCGGACACTGCTGGACTCGCCTACGTGAAGTCCGAGCTGCTGAAGAGACACACGTGCACAGACCTGGGTGAACTGCGCAGCTACCTTGGCTTGCAGATCACTCGGGACAGAGCACGCCGCACCATTACCTTGACTCAGTCACACATGGTGCAGCAGGTTCTTCGGCGCTTCGGCTTCACGTACTCCTCGCCTCAGGCCACTCCTCTGCCTACTCGCCACTCACTCTCAGCTCTGCCTTCGGATGAGTCCGTAGAGTCGAGTGGTCCGTATGCAGAGCTTGTTGGCTGCCTCATGTACCTGATGACCTGCACACGACCTGACCTTGCATACCCTCTGAGCATTCTTGCTCGCTATGTTGCTCCTGGGAGACACAGACCAGAGCACATGGCTGCAGCGAAGAGGGTATTGCGCTACCTGTGCAGCACGTCGGGCATGGGGCTAGTGCTTGGAGGGCGGAGTCCAGTGGTCCTTACCGGCCACGCGGACGCTTCTTGGGCTGACGACCAGGCTACGCAGCGGTCGTCACAGGGTTACACCTTCAGCCTTGGTTCCGGCTCTGTCTCGTGGCGGTCTACTCGCTCGTCTTCGGTTCTCGGCTCCAGTTGTGAGGCTGAGATCTACGCCGGGGCCATGGCTGCACAGGAGCTTCGCTGGCTCACCTACCTGCTGACTGACCTTGGAGAGCCGCCTCGTTCTCCTCCAGTGCTGTACGTAGACAACAAGGCCATGCTGGCCTTGTGTCGAGAGCAGCGCTTGGAGCACAGAACGAAGCACATTGCTCTCCGCTACTTCCTTGCTCGTGAGCTGCAGCAGCGTGGTCAGTTGCGACTTGCGTACGTGGCCTCTGAGGCCAACACTGCTGATGTCTTCACCAAGGCACTCGCGCCTTGTGACCATCAGCGCTTTTGCACCCAGCTGGGTCTTGTGCCTGTCTTGCCTCACTTGCTCTCCTCTTGACTTCACTTGTACTGTGACATATATATATACCTGCTCTTGCTTGTCTAGTTCTATATATATATGTCTGTACTCCTGCATGTGAACTGGCCTCTGGCCCTGCTCTTGTGCTCGGACTGTGTGGTGACGTTGTGATCCACCCTGAGCTTGCTCTGCTTTGCTTTACCTGACTGGTCTTGTGACCCCTTGTTCTCCCCCACTTTGCCTATGGGGGTGTGTCAGATTTATATGACATAGTTTCTGTAGGCTATAGTGGGGTAGCACATATGGGGTACAGGGTTTCTAGGGTTGTATTTGTACCCAATCTTCCATAGTCATTTCATTCCTGTTTTCCTTGCTTCACAGTGGTATCGGCTGCAGTTGACCCGCCTTCCGCTTCCTCGAGCTCTTCATCACCTGACACGTGGGACACGAGCCCACGTGCTGCTGCACGTCGGTCAACAGCTCCGGCCAGTAGTAATACCGCTGCAGATGCTGTTGCATTTTTTCTACCCCAAAATGTCCCGAGGTAATTCCGTCGTGTGCCTCCTGCAGTAAGAGTGTCGAACTTATATGCTATAATCTGTTTAGGCTGTAGTGGGGTAGTCAATATGGGGTACAACACTTTAGGGTTTCCTACTTGCACTCCTCATGCTGCTCAATGCAATCATTCATTCCTCATTTCTTCACATGGTATAGAGCAGGTTCCTTAGTGGGAACGCTTCCTAGGGCCCACCACGATTTTTTTTTCCTTCCCGGAGCGCGCTTTGCTCCTGCCCGAGTTGCGCCCCGTGTGCCCTCCCTACCAACGCGTCCCTAGCCCTTAGCGGCCCTTCGCGCCCTCCTCAGGCCCCTAGCGCCCCTTTCACGGCCCCTCTTGGCCCCTCTCACGGCCCCGTCGCCGCCCTGCCGGCCCCGTTGCCGACCCTAGCAGCCCCGTAGCAGAACCTAGCGGCCCCGTCGCCACCCTGCCGGCCCCGTTGCCGACCCTAGCGGCCCCGTAGCCGCCCTAAGCGGCCCCGTCGCCGCCCTATCGGCCCCGTCGCCGACCCTTGCGGCCCTGTCGCCGCCCTAAGCAGCCCCGTCGCTGCCCTATCGGCCCCGTTGCCGACCCTTGCGGCCCCGTCGCCGCCCTAAGTGGCCCCGTCACCGCCCTATCGGCCCCGTCGCCGCCCTATCGGCCCCGTCGCCAACCCTTGCGGCCCCGTCGCCGCCCTAAGCGGCCCCGTCGCTGCCCTATCGGCCCCGCCGCCGCCCTACCGGCCCCGTCGCCGACCCTAGCGGCCCGGTCGCCGCCCTCAGCGGCCCCGTCGCCGCCCCCCCCCTTACGGCCCTGTCGCCGTCTCTACCAGCCCCTTCAACGCCGCCAGCTGCCCAGCAGCAGAGCTGCCGAGCCGCCCAGCAGCCGCGCCGCCCAGCAGCCGAGCCGCCGAGCCGCCCAGCAGCCGAACCGCCGAGCCGCCCAGCAGCCGAGCCGCCGAGCCGCCCAGCAGCTGAGCACCCGAGCCGCCCAGAAGCCGAGCCGCCGAGCAGCCGAGCAACCGAGCCGCCGAGCCGCCCAGCAGCCGAGCCGCCGAGCCGCCCTTCCTTCCGACGCGCCCCGGCCCTACTTCCTTGGACTGGTGAGCTCACTCCCTGATAGGCCACTGCAGTCATGGCTACCCCCAGTGTTCTTACCTTTGATACTGAGGGTTGTGCTTTTGACTGAGGTCTAGGTCGATGACCTCCAGCTGTTCTTACAGTGCGATAGGGCGGACAGACTCTCACTGTTCGATCTCACCTCTGGTGTCTCTCCTGCCCCGCCTGCTACTGCTGACAGCACTGTTCGCTCACAGTGGGCCACACGCGATGCTGCTGCACGCCTTGCTGTGCGTCGCCACTTACCGACCACTGAGCATGCGCACTTTAGCCAGTACAAGAGTGCTAAGACCTTGTACGACGCTATAGTTGCACGCTACTCTTCCTCTGCCATTGCTGCACTTAGCCGCCTCATGCTACCGTACCTGTTCCCTGACCTTGCTGCATTTCCCACAGTCGCTGACCTCATTACGCACCTCCGCACTAGTGACACCTGCTACCGCGCTGCGCTTCCTGCTGAGTTCTGCGCCCAAAACCCCCCCCCCCCCTCATGTATATCACCCTCTGCTACATAGTCACCCGGCTCCCTGACTCCCTTCGCGTAGTCAGGGACCACTTCCTCTCAGTTTGCCCCACCACACTCACCGTTGACCTCCTCGAGGAGCGCCTCCTAACAGTAGAGAAGAGCATAGTCGCTGTAGGAGTTTCTCGTGGTGACCCTCGCACCCCCGTCTTTGAGGGGTGTTCTCCCTCCCCCCTCTTGCCCTCTGTTGCTTCTGCTGCGGCGGCCGACCTCGTTGGCTTCGACTCGGTCGACGCTGCGTCTGTCCCTAGTGGGAAGCGCCGCACCGGCAAGGGCAAGGGGGGCAAGGGCGCTGGGGGGGCCAGTGGGGGCGGTGGAGGTGGTGGTGGAGGCAGTGGAGGGGGTGGGGGTGGTGGTGGGAGTGGTGGCGGGCCGGAGGTGTCAGTGGCAGTAGTGGAGGCGGAGGAGGCGGCGGCGGTGGCGGATGGAGCGGAGGCGGCGGTGGTGGCGGAGGCGGCGGAGGCGGCGGAGGTGGCGGTGGAGCTGGTCGCGGCTCTGCGCAGAGGAGTGGCTCCGGTGGTGGTCAGCGCCAGCAGCAGCAGCGCGGTTGTGAGACCCTGTCCCCTCACCAGCTTCGTGAGTGGTACGCTGGGCGTCAGCGGGGTGGGGGTACTGGTCCCTGCACCTACGTCCTCCGTACAGGCGACCGTGCTGGTGAGCAGTGCGGGGGCACGCACTCCACCCAGCTTTGCTTCGACCACCTGACGGACGCTTGGCGTCATCAGTTCCTTGGCGCCACTGAGATCCATCGCTGGGGAGAGCTGTATAGGGCAGGGGTAGCTATCTTTGATCTTGACTTTGATGCTATTCTTGCTGCCATGTATGCTGTGTCTACTAGTGATGAGGGTGACTGTTACCTGTGTGTTCCGCCTGACCCGGGCATTCAGGCTGCTGCTCTAGGTGCTGGTGAGGCTGCTGCTCTAGGTGCTAGTGCGTCTGCTGCCCCAGGTGCCGGTGAGTCTCCTCTCTCAGGTACCACGTCGGCTCAGGCCTTGCACACCTTCACCCTTGACTCGGGTGCTTCCCGCTCCTTCTTTCGAGATTGCACCACCCTTACGCCGCTTAGTCGGCCGGTTGCGGTCTCCCTGGCGGACCCCTCTGGGGGTCCTGCCCTTGCTAGCTTCTCCACTGTCTTACCGTGTCCGGCAGCCCCCTCTGGCCCCCTGTCAGGTCTCTACCTCCCCTCGTTCTCTACGAACTTGGTGAGTGGAGCTGATCTACAGGATCGGGGGGTTGACCAGTTCACGCATGCGGGTCAGCGGGTGACCCACTGTACGTGTGCTCGGACGGGCCGACACTTGGCCACGTTTACCCGTCAGCCGGGGTCGAGCCTGTACACACTGACCACTGAGTCTCCTCCTGTTGCTGAGTCTGGCCAGGTAGCTGCGTCGAGTTAGGTGTTTGCTGCAGCGTCCAGGTCTGGTCCTGAGTCTGCGCCCTGCTCGTGTCGTCTCCTGTCCCACCAGACTCTCCTTTGGCACCACCGCCTTGGTCACCCCTCCCTGCCTCGTCTCCGAGGCATGGCCTCCCGTGTCCTTGTCTCTGGTCTCCCCCGGTCACTCCCTCCCCTACCTCCAAGGCCTGCCCCTACCTGCGTCGAGGGGTGGCAGCGCGCTGCTCCTCACTCCTCCGAGTTTCCTCCGACAGAGGCTCCCCTGCATACTCTTCACATGGACGTGTGGGGCCCCGCCCGCATCCATGGCCAGGGTCACGAGCGTTACTTCCTGTTGGTGGTTGACGACTACTCGCGTTACACCACGGTGTTCCCCTTGCGCAGCAAGGGTGACGTCACTGAGGTATTGATCGACTGGATTTGCGCAGCTCGTCTCCAGCTCAGAGAGAGTTTCGGCTCGGACTTTCCTGTTCTGCGTCTGCATTCTGACAGAGGCGGAGAGTTTTCCTCTGCCCTTCTGGGAGCCTTCTATCGTGCACAGGGCATCCGCCAGACCTTCACGCTTCCGGCCTCTCCACAACAAAATGGGATTGCTGAGCGGCGCATTGGCGTGGTCATGGACGTCGCTCGTACGTCCATGATCCATGCGGCTGCTCCCCATTTTCTGTGGCCGTTTGCGGTTCAGTACGCGGCGCATCAGCTCAACCTTCAGCCCCGGGTCTCCTTACCAGAGACCTCCCCCACCTTGAGGTGGACGGGGAAGGTTGGCGATGCGTCTGCGTTTGTCCACGACTTGTCTGCAAACAAGCTGTCCCCCCGTGCTGTTCCCTGTGTGTTCCTTAGCTTCCCCCCTGACGCGCCTGGTTGGCAGTTCTACCACCCCACCTAGCGCCGTGTTCTGTCCTCCCAGGACGTCACCTTTGACGAGTTGGTGCCTTACTACCGTCTCTTCCCCTACCGCACTGCGCCCCTCCCCCCGCCGCCGCTCTTCCTTGCACCAAGTCCTCACCCGGTAGACCCCCTCCCCCCTCAAGGTCCTGCCCCGTTAGGTGTGTCCCAGGTAGACGCAATCGAGCCTGTCGAGGTAGCTGTTGACTCTGGTGCTGCTAGGGGCGCTGGGCCTGCGGGTGCCGGGTCTGGGGTGCGGAGCCTGGGGGTGTTGAGTCTAGGGGTGCTGAGCCTGGGGGTGTTGAGACTGGGGGTGCGGAGCCTCGGGGTGCGGAGCCTGGGGGTGCTGAGCCTGGGGGTGCGGAGCCTGGGGGTGCGGAGCCTGGGGGTGCTGGGTCTACTCGTGTGGCCGCTGGCGGTGCTTTGTCGAGGCGGGAGCTACTCTCTCCGCAGGAGCTGCGCGAGTGGTTTGCCCGGCGCTGGAGCCGTGCTGCTGGAGCTGGAGGTACTACTGTGCTGCTGGTCCTGGCTGTGCTCATCCTGGCGGTTCTGGAGCTGCTGGGACTGGGAGTCGTGCTGGAG